ATTATAGGCTTGTCATACTATTTTGCTAACATACCAAAATTCATATTGACTTATTAAAAATAGATCCTTAAGAGTGAAGGAATTGTCCATAGCCACTCCAGTAAACTAAGCACACACTTGAGTCCCAAGGGCACAAAAGGGCTTCAGCAAGTTGCTAAGTCACCAGCAGGTCCTTTCTCCACCTGTACATGCACTCAGGTCTGCACAGGATTCGCAGAGCATTCCCCCAGGGACACACACACACCCCTTGTTGATTCCCTGGGTTTATTTGGGAACTGCTTATTCTGTGTGTGTTATGGTTTCAAATTACTGTTTGCTCTTCTAACTTCTTAAAAGGGTAAACAACTGGAAAACAGTTGGAACCAATAACAAAAGAAGCCAGCTCTTTAAACTCCATTCCTTTTACACTCACACTTGTTTTGGAGTTGGGTAAAGGACAGATGTACCAGGCTGTCATGGCATATTTTAAAGCTATTTGTGTCCGCTCAATATTTCACTGCTACATTTATAATTCACACAGGCCAGTTTTCCAAGCTCCGAGTGGATGTAACTGAAAAAAAAATGTAACTGAAGTTTTGCTGGGTGGAAACTCAGTGTGATATGTACTATTTCTTTCTCCTTTGCCTCTTCTTCATTCTCCAGCTTCTAACACACACACACACACACACACACACACCCCTACCTTAAAAGGGAGAAAATGGGCAATTTGCTCTAAATAAATATGGACAGGTAGAGATAAGTTTCCTTAGGTTTCCTATGACCTCATTCCTGCATGTTGGGTAAGAGCTGTTTTTAATCTGTCCATCAAACGCCTGGGCGCTGTTATTGATAAGTACCTCTATTCATTTCTGGCCAGGGAGGTGTTGATGCTGCCAGGGATGCTAACATCACATGAAAAACAATTTCTATTTAAAGCTTCTGGAAATCACTGTTTAGAATCTAGAACAAAAGTCTTAATGATCAGCGTCCAGTCATTGTTTACTTGTTATATTTAAAGGCAACTTGCTATTTCAATTTCTTAGTCTAGAAATATAAAGTAGCATTTTGTCAGTTGGAAAGTTACATTTCATCAAGAAGATTTTTTTTTTATTGTGGTGGGTGGGGGCACATTGTAGCATTTACAAGAAGATATTTGCACTTGAATTCACAGTGCCAGTAACAATCTTACTGATTTCATTTGTTGAATGACTTCCACCCTTTGAAGGACAGGGAGTCTAGCAGCTTCTCTGCGCAATGGCTGGTCGTAGAGGTGGGTTCCTGAGTCTGCATTTGTCTGCCAGGCTGTTAACTACAGAGTTGGTTGTTTCTTTCAGCAGTTTCCTATGTTAAGAAGCAAAGACGCAACCTGTAATCTAAACACTGAGTAACTGATCTCATCAGATCTATGTTTTAAGAAGAATCAAAATTGAAAGATTAAAGCAAAGCACATCTCAGTCTGTATCATAAAAAGAGGGAAAAGGAACAAGAGAGGGAGGAAGGGAGACAAGAGACTTAAAATCAGTTTGTTGCTTCAATTCTGTGCCCCAGGGGACTGGCTTCAGTGTGTCCGAGGGCTCTCCAAGTCAGCTCAGAAATTAGATCCACTCCTTCAGCATAAGACTCTGTTCAAATGATAAGGTATTCTTTAGAATGAAGCCTGAAATTTCATTCATCTTTGTTTGAAGGCTTTCTTTAGCAGCTCCTAATGACAGATTGGGATACCAATATTTGATGGAGAAGAAGCAGCTTCTCAGGGCAGAGGCTGTGGCAGCGGGAAGAAAGAGGATACATCAGGGTGAAGGAAGTGGAACATTCTAGAAAGGACAGGCCTGGGAGAGGGATGAGTTAGTTGTGCAGGGAGCAGGGCTTGGCACCAGTCCTCCATGTTGCCCAGGCCACACTCAGTAACAAACATACTCATAGAGTCAGGCTTGCCTTGAAAGCAAGACCGCCCACTCTGCCCTCTGCCTGAGCCCCTGTAGCAGCAAACGCTGCCACCTGGGGCCACCAAGTCCAGTGGCTGGGCTGCCTTTGAGCACAGTTGGCATCCGGAGCCTTGCCAGCCCTCCCCGGAGGCTAGTCGGTACGGTTTTGGAATACAGATGCACTGAAGTTCTTCCCGGGCAAGTACACACGTTGGTGAGATGAGGGTGTGGAAAACGATCACCATATTAGTAGATAAAGAAATTGCAGTCTTAGATCCAATCCATCAAGATATGAACTCTGACTGGGCACTGGTGGCTCACACCTGTAATCCTAGCTACTTGTGAGACTGAGATCAGGAGGAACATGGTTCAAGGTCAACCTGGGCAAAAACAAAAGTTTGTGAGACCCCCATCTCAACCAATAGCTGAGCTCAGTGGTACACCCCTGTCATCCCAGATACTGCAGGAAGCACAAATAGACAGTAGACAAAAAGTGAGACCCTATCTCCAAAATAACCAGAGCAAAAAGGGCTGGGAGCATGACTCAAGTGGAAAAGCCCTTTGCCTAGCAAGGGAGAAGCCCTGAGTTCTAACCCCAGTAGCACCAAAAAAAACCCCTGTATTTGAGAGTTTTGCTCTGCCTCATTCATGTACCTTTTGACCACCTCATGTGCACTCCACAAAAATAAGTCCAAATAAGCATGACACCATGCTGCTGGAAGGACTTGGGACACTTCAGATGGTGGCATGCCACAGCCTGTCAGATTGAGGAATGCACCTTTTCCCTGAAGACACACATGAACCCACAGAAGTTTTGAACAGGTGCACAATGCCATGATATCAACTTACAAAAATAACTCAGCAGCAGAGTTTCAGGATGGATTTAGGGAACAGGGAAATGACAGAACACTGAGCTAGGGGAAGCGGGTGTCCAATTTAACTTCCGTAAGCTGGAAAACATAGGAGGTAGGGTTCAGTGGGTGATGGTAAGACTCAAGGTGCCTGATGCATGGCCAACAGCAAAGTGACACGGGTTCCCCTTCCTCTAATTAGGACTAGTATGGGGTAGCAGTGGATAGAAAGTATAGACCGAATGAATATTACTTGGGAAAGAAAAAGCAAACTTGGCAAAATGTGGATATAAGGCATTTAAAAGCAAGGAAGAGAAACAAAGAACCTAAGAAAAAACTTTTATAAAATCAGCTCTTAGGTAAAGGAGAAATGAAAGAATACTAGTTTTGAGAGAAAGATGAGTTGACTTGTACACATTTGAGGTAGTGCAAGGGACCACACAGATTCTACAGTCCCTGAGGCTCCCCCAGGTGAAACCAGGAATGGACTGGCTCTCATTTTCCCGGGACTCTGCCAGGGATGGACCTTAGGATTGCGTTTATACCTTTGTTTTCTTGTTTTTCTTTAACAAGCATCCGGGTTGAAGTCAGAAGGCAATTCCCCCAGGGGGAGAGGGAGGGAAATAGTGGGAATGGGAGATCAAGATACGTAAGAGCCTTGTGACTGTTGTCAGAGGAAAAGAAGGGTCAGTCAGGAAGGCCAGAGAAACAGAGGAAAGGCCTTGGGCCAGGAGATCAAAGGAACTCTAAGGAACCCCGGGCGGGGCTGGGTCACCGCACTTGACCCTCAAAAGCGGACATTTTGGGCTTTTTGTAGCAGACATTTTGGGCAGCAAACACCTGGACTAAAGCGATCGTCAAGCCTCAGCTTCCACACTGACTTTTGGATACGAGCTCAGTACAGCGTGGAGAGGCGCTGGCTCCCAGCAGCAGGTGGACTCTACACCTGACCAGGCTGTGGATGGAGAGACACGCACAGAACGCCATCCTACACCTCACTTGACGCGCTGGGGCCTTTTGCCTGGGTAGCTAATATTCGCTTGGATTGACCTTAGCTCCCCTGAGGTGGGACAGGCCTGGTCTTTTCTTACAATATTCCACTCTTTGAGATCTCCTGTGGTCTCAGTGAAAGCCTCATCATTGACCAGGAAATGGCAGAGTTTGGGGTTTTGGAGGCTGGCCGGTTGGTTTGCACTAAGCTTTCTCTTTTCCCATTCAAGACAAACCGAGGTCAGGAATCCAGGAGCTCGGGGCTGAGGCCCGGGTTGGAGGATCAGGAAGTGCTGAAGCCCAAAGGCTGTAAAGCCCTGGTGGCTTATCTGGGATCAGGCGGTCAAGAGGCAGAGTGACTTCATCCCCGCAGAGGGCGCTTCCCAGCTGCAGCAGCCGGTTTGTCCGGGGTAAGTTTTCTCTGACTACTCACTGCGCACTGCCTGGCACCGCAAGTCCCTGTGAAAAAAGATGAGATTAGACCAATTTCCTGGTTTCCTTCAGTGCGTGGGCAGGGCACTTCCCACGCAGCGTCAGTCCATTCACCCGGCCTGCAATAGCCTTTTTTCTGATTTTGCTTTAATAAAACTGAAAGGCTCCTCTTACCCTCGCCATTGAAAATGTTTTAAAATGACCCAAACACTGACTTTTATATGAATAAAAGAAGAAAAAAAAAAAAAGAAAAGATGAAAATAAATAAAATGACGTTAAAGCAGCAAAGGTACAGGTTGGCAGGCCCCAGGGAGGAGCCGCCCTTTGGGACGCTGCGGCCCCCCGCCAGGCTTGGCCTTCCAGGGCTGGGACGGCCCCTCCCCAGGTGTCGCCTGGCGCTCCCGGGAGCACCGAGAGTGCCAGCGGCAGGCGGAGCGCGAGCTGGCGCGCAGGGTGCGCGCGTGCCTGAGTGTGTGCGGGGTGCGCGCGGTGGAGGGGGCGGTGAGGGGAGGGCGTCCGGGAGGCTGCAGCCGAGGTGCCTTTGTGGAAGGCTTTTGCGGGCTCCGAAGCCAGCGTGGCGCCTCCCTCGCGGGTTCCACTAGGACCGCGGGCTCGTCTTCGCAGCCAGGCGCCCTCCATCTCCCTCCGCCCCTACTTCCCTGGGCGGTCGGCGGCCCGGCCCTAGGTGCGGGGAAGCGCGTTGCGAGCCCCCCTCCCCCCCGAGCAGGTGAAGGCGATCGCGGCGGCGGGGAGGGGTGATCGGGGAGTCCGGGCGCGGGAGCAGCGGGGCCCGCAGCATTGTTACCTGAGGCCGCGGCCCCGCCCCGCCCCGCCGCGCCGCCCTGCCCCCTCGCGGTCCCGCGCGGCTGGGCCTGCAGTGACCGGAGGAGACGGCGGCGCAGGGAGACCGCGGTGGACGCTGCGCGGGAGCGGGGAGCGCGGCGGTGAGCGGGGCGGGCAGGCCGGGCGGGGGGCGCGGGCTGCGTCCTCCAGCCCCACGGGGAGGCTCCCACGGCCCCTCCGGGAGGACTTCGGTGGCCGCTCGCACCTGGCCTGGCCGGCGTGGGGAGACGTGGGTGGGCAGCGCTGGCCTTCCTAGGACGGCCACGTCCCTGCCCGTGGGGACGCGCCCCGAGCCGGTGGCCCTGCGACAGCGGGCACGGGGCTTGCCCGGGAAGTTCCTGTCCCAGGGGCGCCTGCATAAGGGGAGTGGGGGGAGTGAGCGGTCACCCCTGGCCACCACGGTGGGCCTGGGTCTTGGACGGAGGGGTCCCCGTCTATCCCCGGGACCCCATTTCTAGCGCGGCACCCCCGCCCCGTGCGCTCCCGTCGCCGGCTCTTCCCGCTCCCTTTTTTGGAGCTGCAGTGCGGCGGTGAAGGTGCCCCCCCACCCCTCGCCATCCGTGCGCTCTGGGACTCCGGTGGAGATGTCACCGCGGAGGTCCCAGGAGAGGGGTGTCATCGGGATCGGATAAAGGTGTCTCCCTTCAAACACCCCTCTCTAGTGAGCCGGCCCCCTTTTCTGGGAGCTTTGCACCCCAGCCCGGGCGGAGTGGGGGGGTGCCCCGGTCAGCGTGGCGCAGGGACCCCTATCCCGCCACGATCTCAGGGGTCCGGGGGGCCGAGTCCAGCCCCAGCCCGAGGTCCCCGGGTCCCCGCGGTCCCCACCCCGGCCCCGGGCCGCCGCAGAGCCGTGCGGGCGCCGCGCCCCCTCCGGTCACAGATGAGGTCGCCGTCGGCCCTTTTGGCCAGGGATCGCGTCGAGTGGCCGATGCTCGAGGAGGGGACTCCGGGCTGGGCAACCAAGCCGGTGGCGTTGGTGAGTGGCGGGGACCCGGCCTGGAGAGCGGGGCTGGAGACGCAAGGAGGCGCTGGCCCGCTGCCCAAAGCCAAGACCCCTACTCTGCGCACCATGACTTGCAGGGGCTCGTGTCCCTGCTGTCCCCCACGCCCAATTTCTTCATCACCCAGCGGTCAGTGTTCGAACATCTGTTCGCATAGAAACTCCCCCTTGACTTTGGCACTCTGTGACACCCCCCCCCCGCCGCTGACCCACGGGGTGTCCTTCCTTCCCTCTGCTCAACAGCATCATTTGGCACTCTAGTGTACCCCGCCTTGGTTTTGGGGGCAGTGAGTGAAGAAACTGAAAATGAGTGTTCAGAAACTGGCGGTCCCTGGACTCTGGGGGCGTCGCTCAGGCAGCTGTGAATGTTTACATGAGCCTGATTAAACATGCTGTGTTGGTTCTTTCCCTGCTGGCTGGAGTGCCAAGTTGACGTCTCAGCTCCACTGTGTGGCTGCACCGCCTGTCGTCCTGTTTGATAATGGAGAAAGGTCAAGTGATAGGTAGTGCTGCTGGTGCTGGTGCTGGTGCTGGTGAGGAGGACACTTCTTAAATCCTTATTGGGTTGTGGATTTTAGAACTGCCTGAACTTCTCCAGGCTTTCTCCTTCTCCCAGCCCTCAATGTAGGGCTCTCCCTCTTCTCAGCATACCTGGCTTGCTCTGCCCTCCACCCCACCCCAGAAGCCTGGGCCAGCATTCCTGCCCCCCTCCATCCCCAATGTGGGGCACTTGTCAGGAGTCAAGGGGAGGGCTTTTCTGGCACTGGTGTTACTTTTAATTATTGTTAAACAAGAAGGCCTTGCCCGCCCTCTATCAGGAAAGTCCTGAGCTCCGCCTGGGTCTTCAGAGACCATGTGGTCTTACATACACTGGGATGGAAACTGCCCTCTTTCTTCTCTCCTGCCGCTCTCTTCAAGAGAGCAGAACTTGAGGATGTCCCTAACACCAAAGACCAAGTAGTGCCAGGTCTTTGGCAGGAGTGATTATCGCAGGGGGACCGAGAGCTTCTCTGGAGACCCTGAGGAACCTCCTCCTTCTAAACCTTTTGCTATTGCTTCTTGGCCTTTTGGCTGTAATCAAGATTTGCTTGCTCGTTAAATACTGAAGGTTAAGTTCTTGAGCACAGCATCCCTTACCGAAATTTCACAAAGTTGAAAGTTGCTTAGCTGAGCTACAGTCTCCCTGTTTGGCCCAGCTCTTAAGCCCACCTCTGCAAAGCACTCAGGGAACTTGAAGACATTTTTTGCCTTCAGAGCCTCCCGGTGACAGCCCTCCTCCCTGCTCCTGGGGTCCCCAGCCTGGAGGGAAGATGTTAAATACAAGCGTGTCTCTGTCTGTCCTGGGGACAGTGATAGGACACTTGATGGCTTCCAGACAGAACAGGGGCTGACCGGTCCCATTGTCCCCGCTGGCAATTGCAGGCAGTGATTGTCTTCTGTCAGGGCTGTAGCAGCACCTACGTTTTCCTAGTGTACCTGAGTTTGGGTTGCATCAGTACTGTGGTCAGTGCTTTAGTAAATCGAATGTTCTTTATGGATCTATTTTAATATCTCACGTGACTGCGGAAAGTTAGAATGCTGTCTGCTTGCTTCTTTTCCCACTACCTCTTTGTCACTAGAAATCCTGTCCAAAGGGGGCTGCTATTGAAGTACCAATACTAAAAGCATTAGCATCCTAGCTAATCATTGCCATGAACTGATTCTTTAGAAACTGGTGGGGGGCTAAGACCCTTGTGTGTCACCTGGGAAAAAATTAACCAGACAACTTACCAGGGACAGTGTGATTTATTTTCCTTTGCTTCTCAAACTGTTTAAAATAACATTCTTTGTAAAGATGGGGCAGTGGTTAGATTATGGCAGTGCACAGCTAACATGCCACATTTTACTTTGACAGGTTTTTAATCTGGTACTGGCTCTCTGTGAAACACAGTACTCAAAAAAGCTCGCATCCTTTTGGCTTTGGCATTAGAAGATTGTGATGTCACACAACTTTTGAGTAGAGTCTTTCTTGCTCTTAATTTGCATTGAATAGCTAATGCACATCTGAGCATATACTCAGCACTGAATCAATTATTGCTTTCTAAATTGGAGACTTTTTTTAGCTTATTGCTTGTGTGTGTGTTTGTGTGCGTGTGTGTGTGTGTGTGTGTGTGTGTGTAGGGGGTGAGGCTTGAACCCAGGGCCTTGCACGTTCTAGATGGCTCTGCCACTGAGCCACACTCCCAGCTATCACCATTCTTCAGAGGGATAATATGGAACTGAGACAGAGATCAGTGGTAGAGCACTTGCCTAGGTTCCATCTCCAGCTCTAAAAAGAATAAAGGGACAATGTGTAAAACTGTCAGCACATCTGGAATTAGAGGTGAATTGGAGAATTAGCGACTCTTCTACATGAGAGTTATTTAATGTACAGAAGTGTTTTAAAATATGTAATAATAAACTGCCAAAATTACCTGTACAGTCTTGAGAAAAGAAGAGTTCAAATATAACTATAAACTGTAATTGACAGTGAGTCATTTGCTTTCCGGGTGCCAACTATGAAAACAGCCTCGTTAGGCCCCTAATGATAATTACGAAAACTCCTTCTAAACACCAGCTGTGTCTCCAGTGAACTGGAAGTCAGCTTGGACACACACTTTCAGTTGTACCTATTTAGAAAGATCCAATGGTGACAGCCGTAGCACACTGACAATGTATTTAACTGAATACTAAACTAAATACTTTAAAATGGTTAAAAGTAGTGTCCAATTATAATAATATGCAAAGCTATTTTCTAGTCATATATAGGCAATTTTCAAAACTTAAGAAGTGTTAACACCGTGATGGAGCACTGGGTAGCAGTGTGTGAAGGCCTGGGTTTCAGCCCCACCACCAAAATAAATAAATACCTTGAATATTTAAATGTTTCATCAAAACGTTTGTTCTTGTAACTTAGGGATGATTTAATATGCAATCATTGAATCTTTTTTTAAAAAAAAGGACAAACCTCACAAACTTCTATAACAAGAAGTGGAAATATTAAAAGTGTATTTCTAGCAGCCAGGGATAGCTTGGCATTTTATCTAGAATCCCAAACATGTTTTAAAGCAAGTGCATGGTTTCCATGCTCGTTCGAGTAGATAGTGACTATCAGAAGTGGCTCACTGTGTACCAAGACTCTCAAGAAGGACATACCGGTACTAGTTCACTCATTCTTACACAAACCAGTGGGTCAGATATATCCACACCATAGCTGAGCACGCTGAAGTGTGGGTTAAGTAACCTACAGGTCGAACAGCTAGGAAGTTGAAGAGCTGGGCTCTGAGGAAAAGCAATCTCTTTTTGGAATCTCCACTCCCAAGGTAGTCCTGCCTTTCATATCCAGTATGTAAAACAGTGCGTCAAGTTGAATTAGTGACATCAGACAGTGTATTGTTTGGCCAATTTGTGTCTGTAAGTCTGGGCTCTGCTGATGATTCCATAAAATGGTAACTATACCCAGAAGTCCTGTGTAAAAAGCCCCTCTGTGTGGCCCTTTGTGAGCTGAAGGAGACAGTCCCCTTTTCACACTCACATCTAGCAAGGGTGCTCTCATCACTCCGTTCAGTGTCCCTTAACCACTCCCCTATCTACCTGTCCTGGAAGAGATGTAGTTGTTTTGACCCCATCTCACATCAGCTCAGTTACAACCCAGAGCCAAAACCAAATATTTGAAGGTCCAGAAAGATACAAGCCACCAAGAGCAGCGAGTGAGTTGTGTGGATAAGGGGTAGACATGTGGCAGACCTGATAGGGACAAGCATGTCCTTGTGTCTCTTCTTTGCTAATTGTGCCACAGAAGCAGAAGAGGTGGGTGTCAAGTTCTGATGGTTTCCAAAGAGTGGTTGTCTAGAATTCAAGATGACAGCATCTGAAAGGACAGTAGAGGACATTTCATATGTCCTCTGAGTTTTACAGATGAGAAAACTGAAGCATGTGAGGTGAAGTGACTTGTCTCAAATGGCAATGAGGACAGCTTGGTTTAGATCTGGCCTTTTGTCTGTTTGGGAGGAAGTCATATAACCCCATGGAGTAGGAACATGGTGACCCTGACTCCAGGAAAATGAGCTAGGCCATTTTTCTGTCATCTCCAAATGCTCAGCCTATTCCATACAAGGTGGAGGATGCCTTTTGACCCAGTGATTGGTAGGAGACATGTCCAGACTGGAAAAAGGCAGGGTCACTAAACACCTAACACTTCAGTAATTTGGGGAGGTTCCATCAGGCTGGGGATCCATTGCCCAAAAGAGAATGAACCAGTTGGTGAACAAGTACTTTGTTCATTCAGTCTTGCTGAACCTATAGTGGGCTCTCAGTAAATACATGCTTTATTGATTAGTGGAAGATTTCTTAATTGGATTTATTGCTGCTGCGTTGGCCACATTTCCTGGTAGTTAAATTTGGTTCACAGTTAGAGAAGTTTTGGTTCTTTTGAATGCCCTTTGGGATGTCCTTTTGACTTTCGTGTCTTCCCAGTTTGGGTGGGCTGACTTCCAAAGGGACAAGGCTAGTAAGAAAACCTCTGCTTATACTGACTTTAATCTCATTTTATCTTGGCAGGTTTGGAAGATGACAGGCAGCCCGGTTGCCTTGTTTTCTGGAGAAGAAGTATAATACAAGTTTGGTGTTTTGTGTCTGCTTTCCGGAGGTCAAGGAATTATTTCCTTAGAAGGCAACAGTACTATGCATGTTACAAATTGTGTCTCCCTGGCCAGTGATAAAGAAAATGGTACTATTGCCACAGGAGCCGGATTCATGATCCCAACTCCTCCTCTGCCTCCTCCTCCACCCCCTCCGCCTCTACCATGTCCACAATCAGAGGAAGGCTTTTCCCCCTCCCTTCCTCCTCCCCTGCCACCTCCTCTGCCTGGAGGGCCTCCGGTACCCCCACCCCCTCCAGGACTACCCCCAACTGCCCACATGAATGGCCACAGCACCCTGGGTAAGAAGAAACGCATGAGAAGCTTTTTCTGGAAAACCATCCCAGAGGAGCAGGTTCGTGGCAAGACCAACATTTGGACCTTGGCGGCCCAGCAGCAGCATCACTACCAGATTGATACGAAGACTGTCGAGGAGCTGTTCGGGCAGCAGGAAGACCCTGCCAAGTCCTCCCTCCCAAGGAGAGGGGGATCTTTGAATTCCTCCTTCAAAGATGCCCGGGAAGAGGTGAGTGAGTGTTGTGTTGGAGCTGTGCGTACGTGTGTGGTGTACATTTCCAAAACAATTGCTAGACATCCCGGAGAAATCAGATAGAAAAGGGCTTATGTGATGAGTTGGAACTGAGCAGTGAAAATGTGGAAGGCGTGTGCATGCGGGATCCTCCCAGGCCTTCCCATGGGTTATGACTCATGCAGAGAACATGCTAGTGGGGGCCATTGGTCTTGGCCTCTCCCCCTGCCCTTTTCTAGAGCATCTGCTATGGTTTTCCTACTGACAACTTCTGCTGGAGTGCAGGATTGTTCTTTTCAGAAAAAAGACTGAGCTCCTGAGCTCAGCCATGTGGGGTGAACTAGAGCTGTCTGAGAGCCAATGCCTTTTATTAAAAGCATTAACTACTGGGCGTCCTTAGGATTTTCCCTGATTTTCTCCTCCAGTGTGCCCTTAACATGGGTTTTTAGATGATCTTCATTCCTTAGCTCTGTGAATTAAATTGTGGCCTTTTTGGAAGACAGAGTTCCAGACAGCCAAAGCATAATGCTATTTTTCAGATAGACTTTCTAAGAAACATATTTCCAGTGAACACTAAAGGTTTTACTTTGAGGGGAAATGGCCATAAAAGTATAAGAAGTTAACTGAAAGCATGACCCCAAAGCTCTAGATTGCAATGTGTTACAGAAACAGAACCAAAAATCGCACCTGTCAGGACTCTTAGTTCTCTCAGTGAATTAAGAAATTAAATTAAGTTAGCAAGTAAGGGATTTCAAAGGAAGGCATGTTGGGAAGCTGGGAAGGGAAGAAGAGGAGGAGAAGGAAGAGGAGAGAGAGAGAGACAGAGACGGAGACAGAGACAGGCAGAGAGAGAACATGACATAAGTCTTTGGTTTTTTAATCTGTAATAAAGGAATTAAGAAAGTAGGTCAGTGATGGAGCTGCCTAGATAAGAGAGGCAGGGCCCTGAGATGAATTACTTTCTCCATTCATTATTGAATTCTTGAGCCAACAGTATTGACCTCTTTTCTCTGGCTTGGGAACATGTAACTCCTTCTGCTGGTTCATTCGGGGGGCCCTTCAAGCTGATTGTATGACTCTGTTGAAATCACTGGGAGGTTATTTATTATGAAATGCAAGGAACACTGAGATTGGGATTTTTTGTGTGTCAAGTAATTAGAGAAGGAAATGCTCAGGAGAGCCCACGGTGCCTTCAGTGCTGAACAGAACTTCCTGTCTCTGTGTTTTATGCAAAGTCCCTTTATAGAGTCAACTATCCCTTCAATATTGGATACAGCAAGAGGTCATTTCCTTAGTAGCCTGGCCTTTGCCCCAGCTTCCACTAGAGGCTCTTAATTGTACAGCATGCCACATCTCGCCATTGTCTCCTAGCTCTCCTTGCTGAGGTTCAAGAAGTCATGATTGGATGGGTACATGTGGAAACAGGGCTTGTGTCTCAGGAACGCTTCTAGAACAGAAGGGGGTTAGCTTAGCTTGCCCCTGGGGAGGCAGCCATAGCTGAGAGCAGGTGGTGTCCTCTGGGAACTGGGGAAATGTCAAGGCGCTCCTAGAAATTGCTGCTTTATTATGCTTGTGAGTTAAAGAGAGGTAAAGAACCACTTGGGTAGGGGAGGGCAGTGTGGGTGGCATTCCTCCCCCACCTGTGGCAGAAGCAGGAATGTCCACTTTCAGGCCAGATGGAAAATTGGGGGGAAATAGCCTCTGCACCCTAGATAGCTTTTCACATTTCTCTTTTTCTTTCTATCAGTGCTAGGGATTGAACCCAGAGCCTTGAATGTGCTAAGCAAGCACATTATCACTGAGCTGTAACTCCAGCCCTAAACTATTTTAAGTTGTAAAATGCATATAACATGAAATTTACCACCTTAACTATTTTTTGTTCAGTGACTTTGAATGCAGCCACATTTCTGTAAGCCATCTCCATCATCCATTTCCAGAACTGTCTTCATCCCACCCATCAAACTCTATACCTCCTAAACAATAACTTCCCATTCCCTCCTCCCTCAAGACCTTGGCAACTCCATTCTACTTTCTGTCTCTATGAATTTGACTACTTTTGGTGCCTCATGTAAGTGAAATCATACAGTGTTTGTCTTTTTGTAACTGACTTAATTTCTCTCAGCTTGCTGTCCTCAAGATTCACCTGTGTCATAGCATGGGTCAGAAAGTAAGGCCAGATGATATTCCATTGTATGCTGTTCCACATTTAGTTTATCCATTCATCCATCCATCCAAACAGCCTGGCAGCTGTGTTGTACATTTGTGTACAATACCTCTGTGAACACGGGTGTGCAAATATCTCTACTTTTGACACTCGTATGTCTTTAAGAAGACAGCATACTAGAAAGAAAATTTAAGTCAGCATGACTAATGATCTCAAAATGAGCTAAGCCTTCAGCTCTTAGGTTTGCAGAATTAAGTAGCTTAAATCAATCATGCTAGGTAACATTGTCACATAACAGAGGCTCCTCAGAATTATTTTCAAGTTTTCGTTCTATTGCCAGTGTGGCTAGAAGTATTAGACCTTTTTCAGTACAAGAACAGAGAATGTGCTATTTTCTTTCCTTACTCGATTTTCTTGTAAAGAAGTTATAACTCAGCACAGTTCTAGTCTGACAAAGATCAGCAATAAATCTTCCAACTCAGCCTGCAGTAAGTGGAGTCCAGGGTCGAAAGCAATAGTCCTCACCCTCTGTCCAGGTGGATCATAGAATATGCTGAGCAGCGCATTTTGCAGAGCCTGGTTTTACACCTGGACACAGGACTCCAGCATGTCACCACATAGGCTATAATTCTGAAGGTTCAGCCACACAAGAGGGTCAGTCATGTCCTCTTGTCATATAATAACCTCCCACAGAAATGACCTAACATTGTGTGATTGACTTACACTTTCAAAGACTTATAAAACATGGCAGATAAGTTCCATTGTACTCCAGAGGAAGGATTTGCTTTGCAGGTAGGGAAGATTTGGCTTTGGGAACCTGAACTTAGAAAGAACTTAGAAAGGCTTAAACAGTTAAGTTTTGTAGGGGGAGAGGAAGCTATGAAATATTTCATGGCCTTGTGTCTTTGTTACCTAAAAAAAAATTAACTTGAGGAGATTACAGATGTGATAGTTCAATAGTAATTAAGCTGTAATAAAGCACTCAGAGATAACAAAGATACGCACTACAGCCATATAAAAGGACTGGCTCAGACTTCCTTCCCCTGAGAAGCTCTGAAGTCCATCCGTTACAGATGTCCCTTGGTCTGCCACACTAGTGTTGGGTCTGTGTCTCCTACAAATTGAGCAGTTCTTAAGGGCTGGGATATGTCTTAGCCATTTGGTGTCCCAAAGGAAATTAAAGGCAATTGAGCTGGCTGGAACTTAACCAAGGGAGCAAAGGGACCATCTTTCTAGGTGTCAACAGATCAAAGTTGGGCTTCACCAAGAAAACACGAATATTGAGACACAGGCAGTCATTTGCTGTGATGTGTGACACTGAGTATACATTGACAGTATAGAAAACAACTTCTAAAAGTGCATGGGGGGAAGGAGAGAGAGAAGACGAGAGAAGGCTGCAAGGATGGTTGCTTGCTCGAAGTTTATGAGAAGTAATTTTTATTCAAGGATCAGTCATCCTCAACTATTGTTAATGATCTCAGTGTGTTCTAAAACTGTGGGACAGACTTACAATCTAGAACTAAATAGAATATTTGAATTTTTTTTTAAAAATACACTTCAAATTGAGTTTCATTTTTTTTCCTAAAATGGGGGGAGGAGCAATTTCCAATTGATAGCTAACTAAAGATTAAAAAATGAAAAACCATTAAAGACCAAAAGCCAAGTCTACATTGGAGGAAAGAGGAGGACTTTTCAAGCTTTGCTTTTCAGAATTTGAAATAGAATTGAAACAGCCTGTATTTAGTATTTCCTGGGTAGGTAAGGGAAACCCTCTTGGGCATTCTGGAATGAAAGTGGTTTGTAAGTGTCTTCTTCCACCTGACAACATGAAGCTAAGTAAAAAAGTGAGTCAGGAAAGAACAAAGTAAACTGTAGTTGTTGGAGGCACCTAGTTGCATTCAGAGACAGAAAGTGCAGGGGTGGCTGCCAGGGGCTGTGATAAGGGATCAGGGAGCTGGTGTTTAATGGGTGCCAAGCTTCAGTGTTGCAGGATGAAAAAGGCCTGAGATGAGTGGTGGTATCCACAACAGTGTGGCTACACTTAGTGCCAATGAATTGCACACTTAAAAATGATTACCATGATAAATGTTATTTATTGTTTACCACGGCTTAGCAATGTTTCTTCCTCCTGTAGAGGATATGGGAGGCAGACTTTGTAATGATGGATGCTAGTGAAACCAAGAATTGTGTGGTTGGGGGTGTGGCTCAGTGGTAAAGTGACCCCAGCACAGAGAGAGAGAGAGAGAGAGAGAGAGAATGAATTGTAGTAAAGAACTGAGGTAAGCTCATTTGGAGGTTTTAGGAAGAGGTGGGCTATAGGCAGTCACGCCTCATCCTGTCATCCTGAGTAGTACAGTGCTGCTTATTCACTGTCTCAGAGGACAGAACAACCCTGGCACTTAACATGTGCCAGGGACATAACAGGTCCCCTTTACATGTAGTGGGAAGTCCTTGAAAGGAGAGGCACACCTGACCTTAATTCCCTTACCCTGGGTCCCCTCGTTACCACTTTCTCAAGGGACTCTTAGCAGAAGAGCTACTAAAGTCTCTATCGCATACCTGTACCTGCCAGCAGCACTGCCTTCAGTGGTGGTATTCCTGCCTAGAGTCCTGGTACGTCTGGAAGAGTGGATTATGGGTGGGCTGGAGTTAGGGTGTATGGGGTTAGGAGGATGCAGCACCCTCCTGGCCAGGTTGGCTCACTCTTGACTTAGCTGTGCAGCCCATGGGTCTCACTGCCATCCCCTGTGCAGACTCTACCCTGTGTGGCTCCAGATCACCACCCAGTCCCACAGGACTCACTGTTGAGTGCCCAGGTCTGTGGCACGGTGTCGGGGAAGTGAGATAAGCCCATTTACACAGGCGGTGATAACCTCTGTGAAGGACTTTAACAAACGCCTTTGTAACAGTGCTTAGACGGGTCCAGTCTGGTAGGGCAGGACAAAGAGACGTCTCAGATCTCAGGCACCGGGCAGATCTGAGGATGGTAGAGTGCAGGACGTGCCCTGGGATGTTAGTATTTGTCTCATGTTCCCTGCCTGAGTAAAGTGCTAGGCTTTGTCTCTGTAAGGTGCTCACTCAGTCATGGCCAACCCGGGTTTGTGACTGTTACTAGCCAGTTTCTGAAACACAGGTTGGAACAACTTCTACTGGCTGTGGCTGCCCCTGACTTGAACAGGACGGCCACCCCTCGGGAGCTGGCTTAGGTTCCTGGAGGCCAACTTACCTGGTGAGAAAGTAACTTCCCCCAGCATCCCCACACTTAGTTGGATGTGTGAGGACTTGGCTAGGCTCCTGGGTGGTCACTTTCTGCAGACCTGCCCCCATTCCTGAAGAAACCTCCCAATGGGAATACTGTGCTGGTGGGGACATTTACTGTGTCTGTATGGGAGGCCCACGGGAATCAGAGTGGAGAGGAATCTGGGAGATGCAGCCCAGCACTTCTGTTCCAGTGCTGCTCTGGGGAGGTTGCAAAATGACATTGCTGAGGCTATTTCCTTATCTGTCAGAGAGGGATAAGAAGAGTCATTTTCTCCATTGGTTTTTCAGCAACATTGGCTGTGGACCTAGGCGAGGGTACAGAGCCCTGGAGGGTAGAGGGGTGAACAGGATGAGGGAGGCGCTTGGGGCCAGTGGGGGCGGGAGGAGGTTGCAATGAAGTGTTGACAGCAGAAGATGCCAAGTTAATGAGAGAAATATGAAACAGTTCTCTCTCCAGCCTAGGTAGAGGTGAATGCAGACATCTTTTAGATACGTATAACTGTATCCGTATACATGTCTGTACTTGTGGCCTTTTAATTTATGGATTGTAATAAACACATTGTCTTCTGTCCTAATAAATTGAGATTCTTCTTTTTGGGGTGAGCTTTCCTGCTTAAAGGGTGTTAGTTTGACAGGTTTCCTTCTCACCCTGTCTTTCCTCCTCTCTCCTCCCTTCACACTGAACTTGAGTGATATCCCTGGGTAGGATTCCAATAAGAAGGCTACCCTTTTAGCTTGGGAGTTTATTTTATGACTGGCAGGTGATTGTGTTAAGGTGAAATAAACCCCTAGGTTAGTAAATAATGTGATTGTTTAAGATTAGTCTTCAAAAGAAAGCAACCATTCTCTTGTAAAAATTTAACCTTATGGCCAGGAAGTGACATTAAAGTTGGTTAACAGTCTTGCTGCTACTTACAATCTTAGAAGCAGACCCAGAGATTAGGAATTTAGACTGAAACTCGATTCTCTTTTGTTCACAACGAATCACATACATTTGGAAAGGAAGAGCACTGTAACAACATCCCTGTTTTAGCTGGTCTCAGTTTACCAAAACACAAGTGGGAAAAACTTGTAGGAGTTTTAGGTTAGCTTCCCTCCGAGCCTCCTGGGTATTTTCTTTCAGAGACAGAAATGCAGTCCTGCACTTAACAACCCAAAACAAAGTTCTGATTTCTAGCTTGATAAAAATCTTCCCAAATTATTGGTTTTGAACAGCTGACGCCTATGGCAAACCAGGCATGGTGGCACACACCTGTAATTCTAGCTCCTCAAGAGGTAGAAGCAGGAGGATAAAAGTTCTACCCCCCAGCTTGGCCAAGGTCCTGTCCCAAAAACAAAACAAAAACAAAAGGACTGGGAATGTTGCTCCAGGGCCTGGGTTCAATTGAGAGTACTGCAAAAACAGAAACAAAACAACTTATTGCAGCCCAAATGTGGGTTCTGATGACACATGTAAATTGCAATCGCTGTATCATATTTCACTAAGTCAAAAGACGCCATATATTGTAAGGCTTGTCCTGATTCCAGAATGTTAAAATGTGGAAAGAAATGATGTGTCTTAGACTTGCTGAAATACATATGGCTTTTTAAATTGAGTAAATAAAATGTGGGACAGCTTTTTTTTTTTTTTTTTTTTTTTTTTTGAGACCAGGTCTGTCTATGTAGTCCAGGCTGGCCTTGAACTTGAGATCTTCCTGCCTCAGCACTGGGATTACAGGTATATGTCACTATGCCCAACTAGTATACTGCTTTACCTCCTCCTAAAAGAGCTATTGGATTTATAATTGTCTTTCTTCAATAAAATGATTTTTTTCTTTTAGGAAACTCTTGAGAATTTTATGTTGTTTCTGAAAATAACTGTATTATTCCTTTTACATTTGTAAATCAGAGTTCAAACCCAATCTATAGTATTCTTCAGAATTATTTTTTACTGTCAGTTTAAATCTCATACAATTCTGCTAACACATCGAGTTCCAAACTGAGGCTTTAAAGTGTAAGCTATATTATTCCAAAAAGAAAAGTTTTCAATAAAGCAAAATATTGAAAATCATATAATATAAAATAGGTGTGTGCCATTTTTACTGTTAAGGAAGTATAATATGGTGGAAAGTTTGAAGAGGTGATATCTGCATATTCAAGAAACTATATTAGGTATATTTGTTAGTCACCAGATTTACATATTGGGAGTTATCCTCTTTTAAATTAGTCTTGGCTTTGACAAGTTAAAATTCTCTTCTTTCCTCTAACTCTTTCTATTTGAACCTCAATAAACTTATGCATCTCTTTTCTAGATTACCATCTTGGATGCAAAACGGAATATGAACATTGGGATATTTCTCAAGCAATTTAAGAAGTAAGATTTTTACATACATCTGAAACTTTAGTCATAGCCATGCTGTCAGCCTTAAAGTCTGTGGGTGTGACCAAGCTGAAGTTCAAATTCTAATATGGGTAAAATGCATTCCTGACACCTTCAAATCCTTCCTGGATGCATGGCTTGATGAGTCAACAAGTGTGTATCTTTTCTCTGAAAGAGTAATCCAGTGGCTGGAAGTAAGGGAAAACTTCCCTGGAGTTTCCATTCAAGCCCTGCCTGTCAGGAAAGTTCTAGACTCATCTTTAGTGTTGCCCCTCCCATGGAGGTTGGACAGATTGGGCAAGCAGCTGTTGAATTCACCAGGAGAGAAGAGAAAGGGCTCTGTAGGAATCCAGAGAGACCAAGGGCAATTGCTTTTCTTCCCCCACGGAAGGCGTCCAGTGGTCATTGCTGCTGCTGGCCTTTCTGGGGTGCCCAGGTGATGTTCTGCACAAAGAAGCTTCGGAGTAGTTCCCCAGCAGTGGGGCTGTTGTGGGCACTCCTGACGGGGAGGAAGAAGGGATGGAAATAAGGGTGGAGGAGACTTATTTTAATATTTCCACTGGCTTGTATCCCTGTTGGCACTCCAGGGGATGTGGAATGGAATGTGATTCCTTGTCTTTTCAAGGTCTCCTCAGTCCATCGTAGAAGATATTCATCTAGGAAAGAGTGAGCATTATGGATCAGAGACACTTCGAGAATTTCTGAAGCTTTTGCCAGAGTCAGAAGAGGTAAGGTACTTGGGAGGTATGCTTTGGATGTTAGGAACAATGAGAGGAGTTTTCACGTTTACTTGGGCGTGTCAGAGCTCCCATGCACAGGACACTCTCCTGCCCAGAGCTCACGTTTTCTCACAGAAAAGTGAAATGTGAAGCTGGCTGCAGTAGCTCACGCCTATAATCCTAGTGACTTGGGAGGCAGAGATCAGGAGATTCATGGTTTAAGGCCAGCCTGGGCAAAAAGTTCATGAGACCCCCCCCTCCCCCATCTCAACCAGTAGCTGGGCACAGGGGAGCACAAATAGGAAGCTCCTAGTCCATAATGCAAAACCCTAGCTTAAAAATAACCAGTACAAGAAGAGCCGTCAGAGTGGCTCAAGTGACAGAGCACCTGCCTAGCAAGTGCAAAGCCCTGAGTTCAATCCCCAGTTCAAATAAATAAATGAATGACTGAATGAATGAGTCAGTCAGTCAACCAATGTGGCCCAGTAGAAAGAGCAATGCTCACTGAGTCGGAGACTCTTGGCTCAGAGGAGTGTATCTTGACTGAGAAAACTTGGGCAAGGTTCTTAACGCCTGTGAACTTTAGTTTCCTCTTCTGTAAACGAGGGTAATGGCCCTTACCTCATCAGGTTGTCAAGATGACTAAACCCTGGTTGTGCACCCAACATGGTACTTGGCACATGGGAGCTCAATAAATTTAAGCTTTCTTTTCCGTCCTCTAAAGGTGACCTTTGCCTAGGGTGAACCCAGGTTATTTTATAATAATACACATACCTTTTTAAAAAAAGAAAACAATTTTCTGATAAAAATGCTCTAGAATTAGGAAGGTGGTGAAACTATTAATACACGATGTCTGCATAGCTGACTGAAAGGTGGTAGCAAGAAGTAACATAATAAAAAGTTATTGGTTTTGTTTGACTGAATTACTGAATGGTTTGGAGAAAACTGAATAACAATTTCATGAAACTTTCCAAAATCGTGATAATTTTACACATCATTTCTGAAGAAAAATTCAATAAGAAAGGACGCGAATGTACGTGCTTACAAACATTGAGATAAAATCGTATGGAATTTTATAAAGATTTTACTATGCGAGTAAAAGATAGAGACTTTCTTTAGGTAAAGGTGACAATGGGGCAGTGTATGATTCAGTAGCAGAGCCCTTGCCTAGCATGTGGGAGGTCCTGGGCCAATCCCAGCTCAGAAGAAACAAAATGAAACAAAAATCCATAAGGATGATTGGCTTTTTTTTTTTCTGTGTAAGTCAGCCTTTTGGAAAATGCTGCCAGCTTCTCCTCTCCCATGTCATTCTTTTTCCCAGAGATCATTTATGGAAGTCTATCTTAGTGCCATGAATAACAGCCAACAGAGGTTGGTGCCTTTTCTGTTGATAAGTGCTAAGTTCACAATGCCAAGGGGAGGATAAGTGGGTAACACTAGACTGTTATATCCAGGTGCATCTCATAACCTCAGGCGCTCTCTCTACTGCAGGTTTTCTGTTTGCAAATTAAGTGTAATTTACCTGTGCACAGATTAATGAACAGCATTTATTAATGGTAGTGACTGTCTTCAAGTCTTCAAGCAAAGGTACTCTCTTTTTTTGTGGTACTAGGGTTTGAACTCAGGGCCCCACACTTGCTAGGCAGGTGCTCTTACTGCTTGAGTCGCCCTGCCAAAAGTACCGATCAAAAAGGTACTTTTGATGGTAATTTACCTGGATCTTGCAGACTGCACAGTCTTTCATCTTTCTTTTTTATGAAGAACGGAGTTTCAAAATCTTTGTTAGGATGGGTAGGGTCTAATTAAATTGAGTTTTAAAGAGGTCTGTTTGCTTTCAGCTGGGGGATGTGGCTCTGTGGCAGAGCACTTGCCTACCACGTGTGAGGCCCTGGGTTTGATCCCCAGCACCACAAAAAAAAAAAAAAAAAAAAGGTTTAATGCTTTGGAAACTGTCTTACTGCTTGGGCTCTTTTCCTGACTCCTCCTTCGGCGGCTCTTCGTACCCACTCCTAACTGACCTCATCGTTATTTTTAAGTGAGGACCACATTTCACAGTGCATGTGAAAAGGGATGCAAAAGCTCCAGATGTCTCCGTAAATAAATAAAGTCAGGCGAGAGGGAGGCCACAGGCCTCCAATGTCCCACCAGCATGGTCACACTTCTCCTTGTTTACATTACTGACTCTGGGCTTCAGTCACCACACCCTCCACACTCAACTGGGAGCTTCCCTTGGCAGAAACACACCGCCAGGCCCCAGGTCACCCTCCCCTGACCACTGCATCCGGGTATCTGTGCAGGGTGTCAGGGAAGGCTGGAGCTGCCTCACACTGATGCAAGGACAAGTTGACCTGTTATTGAGAATGCTTTGTGGCTTCTGGCACCGCCTAGACTCAGGGCTGACCCTGGAGTCTCTGGGCCTCCGGATGGAAGTGGAAGATGAGGATGAGGATAAGGATGAGATGAGGCCAGGGAGGAGGCAGGGCCAAGTGAGAGAGGTTCAGGAATGTGACAGAAATATGCTAATAAATGCATATGGGTGTGTGTAACCACGTGGTTGAGCCTCTGATGTAATGTTCTGTGCCCGGTGTTAATACAGAAAGAGCTAAAGGTTTACTGAAGGACTTCTGTGCCAGGCTCTGGACAGGGCAAAAAGAAGTGATAATTTATTTACAGCGCTCAACCCAGTGCCAGGCACACAGAGAGTCCGTCAGTCCTAGTTATGATTATTTTGTATATTTTTTCATTTAATCCCTGCAACCACAGTATGAAATGCTCCTCATCTGACAAATGAGAAACTGCCTCTCACGAGTTAGATGGTGTCTTGTGGTTGTTGGGCAGTACAGGAGGGGTGGACTTGAACCTTGATCTCTCTGACCCTGGACTGGTTCTTTCTGTGGCGCTTCACTACCTCCCTTGGAGTCAGGAAGGGCAAAGGTTGTCAAAACTGTGCCTCTCTCTGCGTGGCCTCCCAGTCTTTTCATCACGTCTGCTATCACAAAAGCACTGGTGTGAGTAAGTGTCACTCAAATAATATTGTAACCTTATCAGCATGCTGAAAAATACGAGTGAGCGGAAACAGGCCTTTTTCTCTCCTACCTCTTCAGCTGACAGGCCAGCTGAAGCCAAGGTTAACTTGCTGTCAGGAATTTCTGTGTCCTTCCCCACAAATCTTTTATCTGGCATGTTTGGTCATCTTTCCTCTAGTGCGGTTAACCCTTGCAGAGGAATAAGGTGAGTCCAAACGAAAGTTCTGAGGGCGCTCTTGTCTGGCACTGGCTCCCATGTCAGGGAGGGAGGGTGAGGAGGAGGCAGGTGTCCCCAGCCAGTCCAGCCAGCCCTTCCTCCGCTGTGGGCTGCTGCCCAGGGGGTCATCTCAGTGTCCTGGGAACAGGACTAGAAGGTACTAAAAGATTCCTTCTTCTCTCTGGAATCAGGTTGAGTCGCCTCCTCTAGCCTCTTTTTTTTTTTTTCTTTTGGCTGGGGATGGAAAACAGTGCCTTGGGCTTGGTAAGCACTTACTATGTACCGCTGAGCTGCACCCCTAGTTTCTGGACATTTCCCTACATTCATCATTTGCTCTGCCACTGCTGGGAAGGGAGTGACAGGGAGGAAGCCAGAGGGTCTTCTGTTGGGTGGGTGAGTTTGGGGGAAATCCTGTCACTCCAAGGCCCGTGTGAGTGGAAGTGGACAGGATGAAGAAGGCCAGCCAAGTGGCTGAGACACTCGGGAGCATGTTACTGCCATCACTTCAGAAACGGGGCACAGCACGGGCTGTAATGAGAGGCCCTTGGCTCAGCCAGCAAAATGATGCCTCACCATGTTTAATACATGCTTTTTGATAATGATGCTGAAAACACATAATAATTACAGGGTTCACTCACCTCTCCTTCACTTCCCTACCTTTGGGAAGGTACAGTAATCCCTCTTAATGCACGTAAGTCTCATTTTTAAATAGGACCAAGCACTGTGTACTTGGCATTTAAATGAAATACTGTCTTTCCGTCGCCATGCTCTTGAGATCTCGAAATGTTTTTGGCCTTGTACATGAGTGAAGGAGATTAATCGCTGCTCAGTTACAGCTTAGCGCATGTTTAATGGAAATACTTAGCAAGTTTACTTAGCATGACCTGTTCTTACGCGTGGGGGGGGGGGAATTCTGTGCTGTTGTTTGCAGAAGCTTTGCACATGCTACCTACAGGTCTTTCCGAAGGTCCAGCCTCCTCCTGTCTCTGCCCATATATAGTGAATTGTCCCGCTCTGCTGCAGAGGGATCAGAGGACATCCTGGGATTTCTCACTTCATAAACCAGGCGCTGGTGTAGGTTTAGCTAAACCTGAGTGTCTCGAGCCCTCGCGTTTAGTAAGGCTAAAAATGGTAAATTCACTTTCAGTTGTGTAGATAGGGCAAGTTTATAAATGCCTGTTTTCTGCCCTAAAGAAAAAAGGTTTAGCTCATTGGTAAAGCACTTGGGATCAGTTTGATCCCAGCATAGCCCCCCCAAAAAGTAGTCTTAAGAACCAGATTTGATACTAGAATGTGAATTTGCACTGTTACATTTTATATCTTTAAATAATTGAGGTAGATATGTCAGTTGTAGATCTTTGAAAATACTCCTTTCTGTGTATTTTTAATGACAGTTTCCTACTTTTCAAGGGACTTGAGATCTTGTTACTAACCATAATGCAGGAAATGAGAGAAAGCTTTACAGGGAGAATTGGGTGGGAGTGGGCACAGTGGCAGATCTGCTGAGCATGGCAAGGCCCTGGGTTCAATCCCCAGCACTAAGAAAGAAAGGAAAGAATAATTACCAAGAGGTGACTCCCTGTGACAACAGTTACCACGAAGATGCCTGTGTGCTGCACACACGTACTAAGGTAGTACTTACCATAAAGAATTTTGTTGGAAGACGGTCCATTAACAGTGGCCTTAGAAGTGGTTTTTGCTGTTGACATGGTCCGTCCGGTTTTCTGTGTGGGGAAGGCATGATTTTCCCTGCTGTAGTTTGAGAAGTTTCTCTCTGCCTCCACCTCCACTTCCACTTGCAAGTTGTTTGGCTATACAACTATGACAGAACTCTGTTTTTTTTACTATAGTTGAAGGAATATTTGCGTGTTTAAAAACTTTGTTTAGCTTATTTTTTACGAGTCACGCATGTACATTGCAGATGTTTTTAAGAGACAGAAAGTGAGCAGCAGAAGAAGGTGGTAGTCAGCTATACTCCTGGGGCCAGCTGTGTGTGGGGCCTTGTAGTCGATCCTGTGTGCATTGGCATGTGCAAGGCAGGGCTGTGGGGTTGTAGACACCCTTTTTTAAATGTATAGAAATGGGATCCTGCTGTAATACTGTTTTATTACCTGGTCTTTTCACAGGGGGAAGTCTTTTTAATATTTTATTTTACTTTAGATTAATGTGAATTCATTATACATATGAGTGGGGTTCAGTTCATACAGTGTGCACTGATCAAATCCAGCTTCCCTTTATCTACCCTCCCTTTCCCCCTTTGCAGCCTCTAATAATCACTATTCTACATTCAGCCTAGCTTTCTTAGCTTCCACATGTGAGAGAGAACATGTGGCACTTGTGTTTCTGTGTCTGGCTTGTTTTATTTATCATAGTGTCCTCCATTTCCATCCATTTTGCTGCAAATGGCAGGATTTCATTCTTCTTCATGGCTGAATAATACTCCACTGTGTATATGTTCCATATTTTCTTTATCCATTCATCTGCTGATGGGCCCTGAGGCTGATCTTTCAGTTGATTAAGCAATCTTCTTTCTTACCTTGCTGTTAGAGAGCCGGCATGTTCCCACGTCAAGGTACCATGACCCAGGGGTAGAGCATGTGGTTAGCCTGTGCAAGGCCCTGGGCTCCATCCCAACACCGCAAACAAACAAACAAACAGTAATCTCTTCCTATGTGCTATTATGCATGAAGTGGAATTGGATCACAGAAAGAAGGTGTGTATTCCCCACACTATGTATCTGTACATCAAAAATACTTGAAATAATCAATTTTCCACTTACAAGCTAAAGGATGCCAATCACTTCCTTCTTCTCCCAGACACCTGACAGAAAAGGTTTTCACTCTCAGATCTGATCCTTTCTCAGTGCGTCCCTTTAGTAACTGACGAGATCACGAACTTGAGGACAGCCTGGACTACACAGTGAGACCCTGTCTCAAAAACTCAAAACAACACAACACAAAACAAAAGCAAAGTAATAGGGTTGGGGGTGTAGCTCGGTGGTGGAGTGCTTGCCTAGGGTGCTCAAGGCCCTGGGTTCATTCCCAGCATTGCAGAAAATTAAAAAACAAAGTAGTAAACATGAAGATTTTCTTTCTTTCTTTTTTTAAGGTCTGTGTCTTTATTAACTTGAGTTTAGCACTGGAATCCTATTTTCTTGGAAGGGGTCTAAGATGGAATTTTAAGTAAATCTTATATTTTAATCATAAGTGATTTTTTTTTCTCAGCCCCCTTTCCATTTGTCTTCTAGGTAAAGAAGCTAAAAACTTTCAGTGGTGACGTGTCCAAGCTTTCCCTGGCAGACTCCTTTCTCCACTACTTAGTTCAGGTGCCAAAGTAAGGAGATAGTCACTGATCACTGTTCTTCATGGAGTAAGATTTTAAACTGACATTGAGTGCTACAGTTTTGCCTTTTATTTTTCTTTCAGTTATTCACTTCGCATTGAAGCTATGGTGCTAAAGAAGGAATTTTTACCTTCTTGTTCTTCACTCTACACAGATATAACAGTTTTTAGAACTGCTACAAAAGGTAAGCAAATCTATTACCCTCCAGATAGTGTGCTCTTATTAATCCTGGTAGCAGTTTACTTTTTTAAAATTTAGTTGGAATTAGAAATGGAAAATCCCGTTTCTCAGATACCTTAAAAAAGGGAATGAGATGTTAGGAGGGGGTCATTTACCTTTTCTTTCCTGAGTGAATATTAATTTGCGTATTATCTTCCCATGAAAGAAAGTTTCTTTCACCTCAGTCTTCAGAGTAAACCTTCTAGTTGCAGCTTGCTGTCCTCAGTTTGGTTAGCTTTCTGCATGTGGTGGGGGTACGTAGTGTGCATGGCGTGTGCATGGCGTGGGTGGTGAGTGGCATGTGTGTGGTGTGTGTATATGGCTGTGTGATATGTAGAGTGGTGTGTGTGTGCATGCAGTGTGTGTGTGTGGTGTTGTGTATGTACTGTGTATTGTGTACATGAGTATCTGCTATATTGCATGTAGTATGTATATGTGCATGGCATGTGGCATGTACAGTAGGTAGCATGTCTGTATGTCAGTGTGTCTGTGCGTCAGTCTGGTATATAGTGTGTATATGGGTGTGTCTGTGTGGTATAGGTATGATGTGTCGTTATGTGGCATACACGTGTGTTGTGTGTGGTATGTGTGTACAGTATGTGATCCATGTGATATGTATTGTGTGTGTGTGTGCATGATACGTGGTGTATATATTGTGCTGTGTGTGGTTTATAGCATGTATATGAGCGTGTGACATGTGGCGTGCGTGGTATGAGGTTTGTGGTGTTAGTTGTGTCGTGTGTGATGTGTATGTGTTTGGGGCATGTGATGTGTATGTTGTGTGTGTAGTGTGTGTGTTCTGTGGTGTGTGTTGTGTGTGTTGTGTGTGTGGATTTGGGGCACGTGTTATGCTCGGGCTCAGAGCCTGTATCCCCAGGCCATCTACCTCTCCTCCCTGCTGTGGCCTCTTTTGGTAGCTGGGACCTGACTTTCCAGAAGCCGACCTCTTTTCCAGGCCTCAGCTGTGTGACTCTCCTGACAAGGGTCTTGCCCTTCGGTGACTTCTCCAACTGCATGCCCTCCAGGCTCCAAGCGGCCCAAATGGTGGCCCATTTAAGTTTGAGAGGAGCAGGTCTGTCGGTTCCACCTCCTGTCCTACGTCCTCTCAGACCATGTCTCCCTCTGCAGGGATGGAGCCCTCCTCTGTACTTGTAGTCCTTATAGAGTGGCCTCAGCACTGCAGCTGCCTCCTGCCCCTCCAAGGCGGCCCCCGCCCAGCCCTCACTTCCAGCCTCCATCAGGCAGCCTGGTTTCCTCACTGACTTCCCGCCTTTATAGTTACAGTTGCGGAACTGTCTATTCCTGTTTGGTTTTCCTGTTTAGTTGCTCTGGCCTGTGCTGAGATAAATGTTTTCCCCTGCCCTCTCCCCTCCCCCACCATATTCTTTTAATCTTAAGAGGACACTAGGAGTGAGAAGGAATTTTTCTTCTTCCAACATGGAAGCCTTCACAGTATCTTCCCATACCAAAGCGACTACAGTAACTTTGGAAGGTTGCTCTTCCTGTTCAAATAGCGACGGGACGACATGTTTTCCTACGGAGCAATGCAAAATTGTGGGCTAGGAGGAAATGTTTCTTATCTGGGTAACCTTCCCAAACTGGCCTTCTTAGATAACAAAATACAGGCAGCGATCCAAGGGTGATGTTTTGAAAGTATTACCAGACTTACTGGGGAATATGAAATATCACAGGTGACATTTTATTATCTCTACATATGGTAATTTTAATAATCAAGTTTTCTTTTTAGCTTCCCAACTATATTAAAATGTTAAATTGTGTTTCTTTACATAAATGTAGAAGAGACTTGGTGTCAATAAGGACCTAGCCTACCAATATATTACAATGACAAGTTCCTTTTTATAACCTTTGGTCTATCCAAATGAAATGCTGGCTTTGAATAACATGAAGACGTAGTCTGATTCCTGGGGGCCCCAAGGGTTGGTGCTTTGCATCTTACTTGCGTGTCATCACAGCTGTTTATTTTTTATCTTTTCATAACTCTTTGGCTAAGCAAAATGTTGCTTGCTATTAGTTTTTATATTCCATAAATACAGTCTCAAAGGCTAGTGGATAGAAAGGGAAAAATTAAATAACCTCATTGGGAAAGTTAATCCCTATAACACACTGTGCTGCCTTTTCTTAGGCTTCTTTCATTTTTCCACTGCTTGAAAATTTTCATTACGAACTATCCCATGACGTCTGCCTGTGTGACATACTTGACCCCAGTGAAACACCGTGACATGGATTGTCAGTAGCAGATGGTGTGTTCAGGACCCCATAACTAGAATGCGCTGCTTTGTTTTTTAGACTTCAGGGTTAGAGCTTGCTCCAGACACACTTGCACTTGAGTGGGTGTGTGCGAGCTGGAAGGTTTCTCTGAGGCACTGTGGTGTGTTCTTTCTGACAGAGCTGATGTCTTGTGAGGAGCTACATTCAGTATTACACTTGGTGCTCCAGGCTGGGAATATCATGAATGCAGTAAGTAAAACCCAAGACAGTTAACCTATTGTGTTTGCAGCTCCACTGTTTGTTTAAAGGTATAATATATTTCTCTTTCTCTCGCTTTGCCTTCCTTAGGGAGGGTACGCTGGCAACGCTGTAGGATTTAAACTGTCTTCTTTGCTCAAATTGGCAGACACAAAAGCCAACAAACCTGGGATGAACCTTCTGCATTTTGTCGCACAGGTAGGTGGAAATGATTAATTCAGAGAGGATGGACAGGCGGTGCAGCTTTTCCCAGGCATGAGATGGTGTCCGTGTTAGGACAAGGGCCTGGTGGTTTCCCAGAGGTTCTGTTTGTGGAGGCCTTGTCTGCAGGTTCCTGCGTTGAGCTGCACGGGGGTTACCGGGCTGGAGGGGAGTGGATGAGTGAGGCAGAGAGGCTGGGAAGCCTGTCGGGAAGGAGTCAAATGTCAGACATGTGGAGTTTGGATTTCATGCTTGAGCCCATGGGGCGCCCACAGGAGTTTGTGCACAGTGTAATGGCATGGCCAGATTTTGGGTTTAGGAAAATAAGGTACATGGAGACTGGGTTGGAGTGGAGAAAGTTCTAGACAAAGGGATCCATGTTGGTGGCAGTTGTCTGTAGTTGGTGAGAGCTGGAGAGGATCTGGCCACATGTATGGAGAATAGAGGACTGGGTATTGAAACGTCCCCGATGGGCCAGACTTGTGGCCAGTTATGTGCAGAGAGATCAATTTTTTTGTTGCGAACTGTGCACTGTAGTGCCTTATTGAAATTACAGGATTTGGAGTCTGACTCTACTCATAGCCTCTTTTTCTTGGGTGCTGAACCCAGGGTCTTGCACTTGCTACGCCTGTGCCGTCACTGAGCTACACAACTACCCCTGTTGCTTTTTATTTTGGCAGAGTTTTTGTAACACCAGAATGCCTAGGTGTAAAGGACAATTATCTCTTTGTGGTTAAATGATCTCAACTAATTGTAGTGATGTGCTTTTTCTTCATTGAACCCCCTTGTTTTGACACCAGTGAGAGACATAACTTCAGCCTAGGCAGGAAGCCATGTGTGTGTGTTGATTGCATGCTACAGGATGGGCAGGATTGGGAGATTTTGAATGCCTCTTAGCTGTACCTGCTCAGATAAGTGACTTAAAACTTGAGATCCTCAGTTTCTTTATCTAGTGATGGGGGTCATTGAAAATTTTGGCTGGAGGAGTTACATCCATAGAGTGGTTAGCTCGGTGTTTGTCATATAAGTTGTCCATAAGCAATACTCACGACTACACCACTGTTATTACATTCTTTAGAGGACAGAGGGCCATGTTTAACTCAGCAGTTAGTTGGTTTTTGTTTTTGCAGTGCTGGAGATCAAACCCAGGGCCTTGTCCGTGCTAGGCGAGTGTTCTACCACTGAGCCACACCCCCCACCCTTTAGTACTTGATTAAAAAGTTAATTTGCAGGGCATTAAGAGAAGAAACTTTGTTCCTTATCTAGCCTAAAACACTTTCTGGCAGATGTTTTTCAGATTTGTGCGTCTAGTGGCTCTGGGCCACTTGGTCCCTGCCCCTATGGGGAAGGAAGCCTCCTAAGTCAGTAATGGCTCCCTCCCCACAGCCTTCCCCTCCTCACCCTCCCAACAGGAGAAGAATCCCAGCACCTCCACACTGTGTACCTTCTCATTAAACTCAGTTCGCAAACTGGTTTAACAGCTGAAGGTACTCACCCATTTGAAACACACTCACAGGTATGGGCGGTGTTTAAGCAGGACATATTGGATTCTCTTACAAACAATGAGGCCTGTTAAGCAACTTGCCTCCTTCCACTGAGTTTCCATGCACACGAGTTGTATTTCATAGCAGGATTAATTGCCTTGGGAAGGCACATGTGTCTTGAGAGTAGGGAGTTCTGGTAAATCTAACTGAGCATATCAGAGCTCCAGGCTCAGGAATGCACCAAGCTGAAAAATGAGCCGTGAGCTTAAGGCTCTGTTAAGTCCTAAACAGATGATATTCTCTAACCATCCAGTGAGAGAAAATTCTGTTCTCATTCCAGGAAGCCCAGAAGCAAGATGCCGTCCTCCTAAACTTCTCCGAAAAGCTGCACCATGTTCAGGAGGCTGCCAGGTGAGCAAGGCAAAGTGCATTGTGAGAACTCAGTCTTTAACAGCCTCTTACAAAAATGGCTGCGAAATTGGAACTCATGGGCTCAAGACTGAACTCTGAAAAGCTTTCTCTTGTGCTTTCAGGCCTTTTAATTCTCCTGGAAAAGGTGTGTGGATCTTTTAAAAACTGTGATCTTGATTTTTAAACTAAAGAAACGCTGTCAGTCTATTCTGGTGACTATCATCAGTTAAGAAATACAGGTTAAGAACTTCGAATTCCTCCACACCCAAAAGATTCAAGCAGCACAGCCTGTTATCTTGGGAGTTGGTCTCCATCAGTCAAACTTTGAGGGCCATCCATCACTGTTTCCTCGTAGACTCTAACATGGTACACTTACTTTCTATTGTGTTAAAAGGGTTTGGAACCCTACCAAGAGCTGGGAAAGGATTTGATTTTAAATTAGTCACTCAACTTTACAGAGAAAGTACCTACCAAGCAAAAAGCTCACATTACATCACTCTAATTTGGTTCTAATCCTAATATAGGTGCAGATTTTATGTAGCTACCATCTGCATGTACGTCTATTGTGACTTCAGTGTTTTTCAACTTACAGTACATATCCATGCATTCCACAGTAATGTTTCAAACAACCAGTTCTTCAAGAAAAATACCCTGATTCGTCATATTTGCTGTTTTTCATGCCATGAATACTGTTACCCTGAGGCGGATTTCAGGCCACCTCCATGGAGGTACTGAATACGGAAGAGATAGACAGAGAGAGACAGAGAGAGAGAGAGAGCTTGGCTCACCTCTGCGTGTATCCACCCACTTCATAGCCACGTACTTTTTTCTTAAGACAAGGTCTCCAACTGATCTCAAACCCCTGGGTTCAATCAGTCCTCCTGCCTCAGCCTCCTGAGTAGCAGGGACTACAGTGGTGTGCTGCCCCAGCCAGCTATCTCATGTACTTTTGTGTGTGTGTATGGTACTGGAGATTGAACTCAGGGCTTTGCAACTGAGCCATGCCCCCAACCCTTTTGCTTTTAGTTTGTTTTTAAGATAGGGTCTCATGATAACTTTGTCCGGGCTGGGCTCTAACCTCGATCCTCCTACCTCTAACCTCGATCCTCCTACCTCTGCCTCAGAAGTATCTGGAGTCACGGGCATGCACACCACACCCAGCCTACCATATACTTACTTACCATGTGACTGTAGCCGGCTACAACAACCATAAACCATCGGCATATAAACAAATGAACCCTAGCTTGTAGCCCTGTCACTGGCCGGTATCTCTCTGTTATTGACTTTATGACATCTAACCACGGATTACATGTCTGCCCAAAAGGGAGATTAGCAGTGCAAAAGTGTAAACACTTCATAATTCCTATTTATAGATCACCAAACATTCTCTAAAAAAACAATGGACACAGACATAAGACTCAAAACTGTTTTTGAATTACTAAAAGAAATTTTTTATTCTAACCAGTATAGAAATATTACTAAGACATACATAAGGTAAAACTGTCATTCCATTTTTGAACTGGCATTTCTGGTTAGTGTTGGAAGAGAAGTTTACCTAGACAATGTCTTAGAAAACCCCCTTTTGGTAAGAAAGGGGGAGTAAGGTAAGACTTGCTTTATTTGAAATGGAATTTAATACCTATTGCATAAAGGTGAAATACACAGATGATGTCCATTTAGATCCCAAATAGGCACCAGTGACCAATGAAGGTGAAAAACTTTACTGCACAGAAAACTACAGTCGACAGTGGAAGCATCAGAATTTACAAATTTCACATGGATTTTAGGTTTCACCTGCTCCACTCACGTTCTACTCATCTTGACTTGATACACATAACAAGCATTTATTTGCAGAACTGTTGTCTGGGTTTTAGTTCTGTAAAACATGGAAAGCTTGCCCTGGCTGCCTGGGGTGAGTGACGTGAAGTCCACTTAGTATCTCCATGTCGGGCCCCCATTGCACTGCCTCTTGGGAGTTAGAACTTCCTAACCCAAGAAAAGCATTTAGTTTTTAATACCTAGTGCATAAAGGTGTTCAAACCTAGTTTACGAGAAGCTTCACAAGTCGTGTATTCTGGGTTAGCCATTCTGCAAACACACAGTGACAGGTGCTGTCTTTGGACAGTGTTTTTAGGAAGCAGTCGCCTCTTTAGGTGGACAGTCACATGATCTAAATGCAAGGATAGGTAGATGTAATTGCAGTGACTTTCCTGTTTCCAGAGTTGGCCAGCGATGAGACTTGTTTGAGGTATCTACATGACACATGGTGCCCTGTGCCAGCGGCTCTCTCCCTTCTTTCTTTAGACTGTCTGTGGATAGCACCGAGGCAGAACTGCACTCGCTCTCCGTCAGGACGAAATCGCTTCAGGAAAATATCCAGCAGGATGAGGAGCTGTGCCAGCAAATGGAAGACTTCCTGCAGGTCAGTCAGTCCCTGTAATCTCCTCTTCCAACAGCTCGGCCTCAGTTTCCCTGGGTGAATTTGTGGGGCAGCAGGCTGCCATTCGTATTTTCCCCCCAGCTAGTATAAGGAACCTTGTGTCTTGAGGCCCTTTCATTACAGAGGAGAGTCACCATGGGCTTGGATGTGACTTCTCTGCTCTGTGTGTACTTGAACTCGCTCCTGGATTCTGCCTGGCTTTTGGTTCTACGCCTATCACACTCTTGTATGGCGAAGTCCTGCAGACATCCCTCAGACACCGGAGGCCCAGGCTTATCTTCCTTCTTGTTTCTATGGTGGAGAACAGCTACATCTGGGCACAAGTTTTCAGGAGAGCGGCAGAGCACACACAGTTGCTGGGCCCATCAACCCTGCTGACAACAGGGTGTGTCAGGAGCCTCTCCAAATAATATCAACAAAACCCAGCAGAGTGGATGTGTTTGTGACAGCTCACCGTGACTCACTAATCACATAGTCTGACATACTTCTTTTATCTTCCTTATTTTAAAAAAAAGAAGTGGCCCAGTTTCCTGCTCTTGGGCTTCTGTGAGGTGGTGTGCTGCCTTCAGTGTCGTCCATGCTGAGACCCAAGTGGTGGAATCTGTGTGGCACGGTTGCCACGGTGCTAGACAGGAACAGTGTGCTCCTTTGGCCCAGCCACCAAAGCCTTGGCAAATTATTTGGGCTACTTCAAAACATTGCGTGTCAGCTCCTATCGGCAAATACTGCATTTCGTTTGGTTCTGCTGCGAGTTTATTTTTTTACTGTGAAATGCACTCTGTATTTACTTTCACGTTCAACCTAACTTCAGTTTTTCTTTCAAGAGCACATATTTTTCTTTTTCTTTTTTCTTGTTTTTTTTGCAGTGCTGGGGATGGAACTCAGGGCCTCCTGCATACCAGGCGTGCTTCTTCCTTCCTTGTCTTCCTTCTTCCCTCCCTTCCCCTCCCCTCCCCTTCTGTTCCCTCCCCACCTTCCCTTCCTTCCCTCCTCCCTCCTTTCTTCCTTCCCTTTCTTCCCTCCCTTCCTTGCCTTCCTTCTTCCCTTCCCTTCCCTCCCCTCCTCACCTTCCCTTCCTTCCCCACCTTCCTCCCTCCCTCCTTCCGTTCCTCCCCTTCCTTCCTTCCTTTTTCTTTTTGAGGTGCTGGGGATTTGTGTATTCTAAGCATGCACTCTACTACTGAGCTCCAGCTCCAGCCATAATCTTATACTAAATCCTAATAAAAAGGATTTAGGATGATGAATGGCTCTGCCTTCCCCTCACCTCTAGATTGCTGCTTTTCACGGGTAACCTTATTGGAGCTCTTTAAACTTTTCTTTCTGGCAGTTGTTTTTGGTTTATGTTGTGTTGTGTTTTGGTGGTGTTTTGATGGGGCACAAACCCAGGGTGTAATGCATGCTAGGCAAGTGCTGTACCACTAACTTACATCCCTGGCCCTCACAGCCATTTGCATGTCTGTAAACAAAATGTGCCACACAGCTAGGTATTTTTCTTTCTTAAATAAAGTCTTAAGGTGGGTTAGGGTCAGGCCAGGCCATGCAGGCCCTGCACTGAGCACCAGTCTGAAATTTCAGGACCTCTTGTAAGCTGATTGATTAAGACTTGTGAGGCTTTTGGTTGGTTGGTTGGTTGGTTGGATTTTCCTTCTGGACCAGAATGGAACCCAGGGCCTCACTCATGCTAGACAAGTGCTCTCCCACACCCCTGGCCCCACTCAGGGTTTCTGAGCAGGAAGATGATAGGAACACATCTTTGAGGATCTCTTTCAGCATTTTGACCCTTTGGGTGAGACATCTTGATTTGGGACTTTGGTCGTAGTGGGGGCAAGTTAAAGGTGAAAGCTGAACTGTCATGATTGCTATTCTGTTGTCACTCCCTTTCACCATGGCGGCTTTAGACCTTTTCATTGGTGCCCCTAATCCTAGAGAACTCGGGGCTCGTAACTCGACATGGCTGTTTCTCTAACCTGTATCCCGAGTTTCATTTTCCCAGGTGCTAAGGGTGGGCTTAGGCCTCTCCTTCCTGATTTTCTGTCCATTCAATTCCGAGAATTCTGCAGATGGTTGTGTCTGGGGAGCTGAGCTCTCACGTAGGTTCTTGTCAGGGAGACCATGTTTCTGCAGTTGAGAGGTCCTGGCTAGAATTCATCTTTGCCCCTGAAGAAGAACGACAGGCAGAGACTTATCCTTCTGGAATACCCTTGTACCTAAAGAAAGGTACAGCCCTCAGCCCATGTGCACACTGCCTTGGGCTGCTGATTCAGGTGGTCACTCTCCGTGGCATTTACTTTCCTGAATAGTTCTGGTTTCCTCCTGCCTCTAGAATGTATTTGGTTTAAGAAAAGGCCTTTTATGGGGAAAGTGGTTGGCAGATGTGGGAGGTGACAAGTCTGAAAGGAATTTCTCTTTAGGTTCTATAACTGGCCAAGCATGCTCAGACAGCAGCTTCCTTCCTTAAAAGTGGGCAACCTGTAACTTCCTACACCCTAGACCCAATCCTCTCAGTCCATAAGTAGTTGTTCATATGTAACCCTTGGGTTAAGCAGTGTGGCTCACATCTATAATCCCAGCCTCTCAGGAGATGGAGATCAGGAGGATCACAGTTCCAGGCCAACCTGGGCAAAAAGTTATCAAGATCCCTCATCTCAACAAATAAGCCAGGGTATGGTGGCACACATTGTAATATCAGCTTTGCTAGAGGCACAAGGAGGAGGATTGCAGTGAGCATCCAGCTCCTGACAAAAAGCCAAGATCCTATCTGAAAAATAACTAAAGCAAAGAGGACTGGGGGCGTGGCCCAAGTGGTAGAGCACATGCCTAATAAGCTTGGGGCCCTGAGTTCAAACACCAATACCGGCGGAAAAAAAAAAAAAAAAAGTAAGACCTTTTTTTGTAAACATGATACCTGTGATTTAATCAAGCAGCATACATCCTACATTCTTCTTCTTGTCAACTTTGTTCCCCAGTGAGCAAAAGAGCAGCAAGAGACTTCAGTGTAATCCCAAATATTTGGTCTCCCAGGAGGCTGGGATGGAGTCCTTCTTCCCTCCCATGCTGCCTCCTCATTAGTGCTCAGAGGTGGTCACTGGCCTGCGCCAGGGACTGTGCTTATGGCCTTCAGAGGAGGCAGACCCCATCTGAGATGGCTTGGCCACTAACTGGGAAAACCAAGTTTTTAACACGAGGCAGTACTAAATCCCCAGAGGCCTCCGAGATTCACACATCCAGAGAACTTAAAGATTTGTGTGGGACCCATCGGACAGTCCTGGGGAGTTTTAATAGCCTATCAGGGAAGGCCACTGCAAACCTGCTGATTGCATGTGGGTACAAGCATGGACTGTGGCCAGAGCTTCCCAGCTGACAGAGATGGCCCCCGGGACTAGGCACAAGGGCCTGTGACCCCAGTAGAGTGCATTTGGGATTAAGTGTAGACACCCTCTCAACAGGGCGACAGGGACAACTGGTTAGGCAAGTTAACTAGTTAACTTCAGGAGCCCTAAAGAAAACCCCTGGCCAGTAGAAGACTCAGTTTTGAGAAAAAGAAGGAGAGATGCAGAATGAGTTTTTTCTTAATAGAACCCAATTATATACCTGGGTAACTTCCAGTGGCCTTAAAGGTGAAAATTGTGCCAGTGACATTCTACAGGTAAAGCTCTTAAATCCTTCAGAGACTGTGTCTCGCTCTGTAGCCCAGGGTGACCACCACTTCTGATCCTCCTGCCTCAGCCTCCTGGATGCCGGGCTTATAGGATTACAGGTGGTGCCCCAAACACCAGGCTTCTGTTTTGTGGCTTTGGGGTGTTGTGGAGGGGGACACCTTGCTTTCCTGGGGTTTGGTTGAGGTTGTCTTCTTTTCCTTTTGCTGAGGGCAGCCGCTTTGCAGTGTGCCTTCCCTCTCCAGAGACCCGAGACAGGACAGCAGCGCGTGTTCCGGGCACCAGCCAAGTGTCACCACGCTGGGTCTGTTTCTGCCATGTGACACTATTCGTTTCTCTGCAGTTTGCCATGGAGAAGCTGGCGGAGCTGGAGCGCTGGAAGAGGCAGCTGCAGCGTGAGGTCCACACCCTCATAGACTTCTTCTGTGAGGACAAAGAAACCATGAAACTGGACGAATGCTTCCAGATATTCAGAAACTTCTGTACCAGATTCAACAAAGCAGTTAAGGTACGGCCGGTGGCATCTCTGTGCTTCCAGAGTCGTCTGGACTTTTGCCTTTCTGCTTGCTGACCCAGGCCTCTGTCCATGGCAGAAGGATGGTTTCGGGGCTCCATGGTCTCAGGAGCATGGGGAGTCTGGCATTTGGTGGCCTCTGTTCTTTGCTGCTCACACCAACTCACACAATGCCTAAAAGAGTTTTGTTAGCACACTTTCTTAGTGATGGAAGTCAGAGTATTTAAAATCCTCCTGAAGATCCTGACTGCTTGCTCAGCCCCTGCCTAGAAGAGGGTGTCTGTGCTCAGAGAGGCCAAGGCCTCCCTAGAGGAGAGGTCTCGCTCACCCTGCGCCGTCACTGTGGTGCCAGCAACACGGGGACCCTGTTGTCCTTGGGCAGCTCAACCTCTAAAATTCTGTGCTTTGTAAGGAGCCTGTGAGCACAGTGACCACACTTCCCCTTTAGTCACCACTTCCAGGGGGCTCTGAGTTGAATTTGAAAACCAGAAAACCCCTGCATTTCTGGGCTTTAGGAATCAAACCTTCATCCCTCAGTTAACAACAAAGTAGCCACTGGCACCCTTCATTTCAGGTGCTCCTGAGCTATCTGTTGCCCTATATTTTATTTATTTATTCATGTATTTATCAAATGGGAACTTGTACTCTCGCCCTATATTTTGAATGCAGACTTGTACAAAGCTGGATTTCTCAGAGGGACTCATCACCTTTCTCTCAACCCCAGAGTTGCTTTGAGTTCCCAGCCCCTGCTTTCTCCATCCGGCTGAGAGAAGGAGGCTGAGCCTGTGGCCACGTTGATGCGCCTCTGTCCAAGCAGTGAGCTCAGCTGTGGGAGGCCGTGGCGGGTGGCGGAGGCCAAATTGGCTCATTCTGAGGCACTCGCTCCCCATCTGAATTCAACAAGCCCGTGAGGCCACCTGTGTGGTGCTCTCAGCTTGAAAGCCAGGACCCAGCCACCCCCACCACGGGCAGCCTCGAAAGAAGGCCTGAGAGTCTTAGGGATACTGGGGAGGCCAAGGCCAGAGCTGCCTGTCCCCAGCCAGGGCCTCACAGAAACTTGGAAAGAATAGTTCACTGGAGGAGGAAATCGATTTTCAAATAAAAACTGCTAACAGTAACAGATTCGGATTGTGAGGTCCGTGTAATTACGTGATTACACATGGATCTCACAACCCAAAAGAGCTCTGGATTTGTGACACATGCAACCAGCCAGCCTTCCAAATCCACAGTTCCACATCTGCAGATTCAACCAACCACAAGTGGAAAATACTGTTTCAAAATCCGCATCCGTGCTGAACACATACAGGTTGTTTCTCTCTTGTCATTCCCTACACAACACAGAATAGCAACGGCGCACGTAGTGCTTCATTTGCGTTTGGCGTTGTAAGAAATCGCAAAATGATGCAGGTTTATGGGCGAATGGACATGGGCTCTATGCAAACACTACGCCGTTCTATATATAGGCCTTGAGCGCCCTTAGATATGATATCCAAGGAGGACCAGGAAGCAGTCCCTGCAGGTACCAGAGACAAATGCATATTACATGACATAGACAGGTAAAGTGGGTTCCATTTCGTTGAGAGGGCTGGCTGTTTTGCATCAGGGTAGAGGGTTAAGGGATTTGCAAGGCACCTGCTCTCCTTTCTTCTCTGGTTGTGGGAATGGCCAGGGCATGAAGGACAGAGCCCTGTGCTGCAGGCTGCAGCTGGCAGAGCCACCAGCATATTTGTGGCGTGTCTTAACCAGAGAGCAGTTGGAGAGCAGAATTAGAAGGCATCTCTTAATGTCTTCGGCATACATTTATGAATCCAAGTCATTGTTGAGGAGAATGTGCTGCGTGTGAGGGATGTGTGTGTGTGTGTGTGTGTATAGCCATGCAATACAGTGGTCAGTTTGGGGTGCACTCTTTTCACATCCATAGTATTTGTATTTTTCTCTCTGCCAGTGCTCACAGACTCCTTTCCTGGACATCCTGTCTTTCCCTACTTACAGACCAAGCTGGTTTTCCTTGGAGTTGAGGTTGTATGCATACGCGCGGAATTGTAGCCCACAGTGGAAGCTGGAAATTGGGCCAAGGGAGCAGATGAGAACTATAGACAGGTTGCTGGAGCCAGACCTGGCGTGCCCCTCAGTCAGACCCCCAGGTCACCTTGGGAGGCCTCCTCTCCTTCCCCACATGCACATCTGCAGACAAACGCACAGTGTCTTTATCCAGGCTGTCCTCCACACAAGCACCTCTCATTGAGTCATGGGGTAGGTGGCCCTGGAATTGTACATGGACCCCATGTGGCTCATGCAGGCTTCTCTCCACTCTCACTCAGGACAACCACGAGCGGGAGGTGCAGGAGCTGAGGCAGGTGCAACGGCTAAAGGAACTGGAGCAGAAGCGGCGTTCCTGGACCGATGGGGAGCTTGGGGGCTTCTGCCGGAGCAGCAGTGAGAACGATGTGGAGCTGCTGACCAAGAAAGGCACGGAGGACCTGTCCCCTTTCCTGCACTCCAGGCCCGTCAGCCCCTCCTACCGGCCCCCCAACACACGCCGATCCCGCCTCTCCCTGGGCACCTCTGCTGACCGAGAGCTGCTGGCCTTTTTGGAGAATACCACAGGCAGCCCCGAGGGGCCCAACAAGTTCAACAGCTTGCCCCGGAGCAGCCCCCAGCAGGCCCAGCATACCATAACCTGGATGGGGCCTGAAGAACCAAGGGACCACGACCCCAACTTTGCACCAGACTCTCTGGCCTTGGAGGGCTTGGAGAAGGCACCTAACCCACCCTCTGCTCGGAGGAGCCAGCTTCCAGTCCCCCAGTCCCAGCTCAAGGAGCCTGCCTCCACCTTACCCCAAGCTCGGCGGGGTGGGGTGAGCATCCTCCGAAAGAGGCACAGTGAACCCATGGGCTTGGGGCCAGCACGGACCCCTCCACTCTCACCACTGGCTCTGGCCATTAAGGAGCATGAGCTGGTGACAGGGCTGGCCCAGTTTGACCTCCAGGATCCCAAAGGCCTGCAGGAGACAACCTGTCTGACCCTGAGTGACTTCAGCTCTGTGGAGCAGGAGTCCCCAGGGTGTGGGAGCCAGCAGTCCCTCTCTTTGGACAGCAACACCCTGGCCCCTGTGGACAGGGGTCCCCAGCAGAGTCTTCGCCCAGGCCTGGAGCATAACAGGGCTGCCCCTGATGAACCCAGCAGTGCAGCCTTGGTGTCTGTGGCCAGTGGTGACCCTGAGAACAAGGATCCTGGACCTCTCTTCTACATCTCGGACACCACTGACTGCTCACTGACCTTGGAGTGCTCAGAGGGCACTGATTCCAGACCTGGGGATGGTGAGCTGGAGGAAGACAGGGAAGGGGGTGGCTCTGTGTCCTCCGGGGCTGGGGAGGCTGGGAGCAGCCAGGTCTCCTCCAACCCTGCCTCCAGCCCCACTGGGGACGAATCTCCTGCCTCCAAGAAAGGAGAGGCCAGCTGCAAGGGGGGGCTTCTCAAGGATAGAGCCACCAGAGGGAAGGATGCCACCGTGCCCGCGCCCAAGAGAAACTCTTTCAGAGAGACATCGCTGGTGGCCGCCAAGCCTGGGAGTGTCCGCCGGAGCCAGGGGACAGCACCCAAGGCCGTGCGGACCTTGACCACCTCTGAGAATGAAAGCATGCGCAAAGTTGTGCCTATCTCCAAGTCTAGCAGAGGGACTGGAGGCTGGAAGCGGCTGGAGCCACCTTCCCGGGTTCCCCCTCGGGAGACCCCCAACAGCACAGACACACAGTTGGCACGCCGCAGCTCTGTGCGGGGGACCTCAGACACATCACCCAGGAGACTCCCCATGGGAGCTGGGGCGGTGGCCACAGTGACCGAGGAGCTGAAACTGCCCCGGGGGAGCAGCAGCTCCCGCCTGGGGAAGGAGCAGCCCCTGCAGCACAGGGGGTCTCTCAAGAAGCCTAGTGCTAAGCCCCTCAGGAATATCCCCAGGCAGAAGCCCGAGGAAAATAAAGTCTGCTGCTCTGCTTCCCAGGGACCCGAGAGCCCTGGAGAAGAGGCCAAGGCCCGGCCAGCCTCCAGCACCCCCCGTGTTCCACCCCCTATCCCAAGCTTTGCCCGAAACACAGTGGCCTCCTCATCCCGCTTCATGAGGACAGATTCCACACCTGTGCCCAAAGCACCTGGCATCATGCGGACGGTCTCCCAAAGGCAGCTAAGGGTGAAGAGTGGCTCCGAGGATGCCACCCCCAAGGACAGCACCTTGAAACGAGCCAGCAGTGCCCGGGCCCCCAAGAAGTGTCCAGAATCTAGTGAGGGTCCCAATACCAACACGGAGACCTCTCCAAAGGCCAGAGTGGCAGGAGAAAGGGCCTCCCTCAAACTGAAGGACGCAGGGCGGACCACTCTGGGGAGAATTCTCCATCCGCTGAAGAAATGAGGGGTGCCTGTCTGCCTCTCATCTCCTGGGATGCAGATATTGAGGACTGAGTTCTGGAATGAGGGTGGGAGGAAGCCAATACTCAGTGTCTTTGTCACACATCAAGCAATCCACTGGTGCCACCTGGTCAGGGTTATATTACTAAAGGTGTGGTCTGGAAGGCCTGTGGACTGCTGCCCCAGTACCTGCCTCATACCCTGGGCTCTCACCCGGACTTCTGTCCCCAGAACATGGACATGTCAATTGACGTTGTTATGTAACAAGTGAAAAAATTTTCTGGCCAGTTTTTATATATCAAAGACTTATTTTTTAATATTATAAAAATAAAGCGTTTTAGCTGATTGCTTTTACAGAGTGAAACGCCTCCAGGGGCTTGGGACGGAGAAGAATTATCCTTAGTGTGAAGATATTTTTATCTTCCTGGGTTCCCTGGCCTCTGGGTTCTACCTGCCCACACACTGCCCATCACTGGCAGCTCAGCTCTTCCAAGCCCTTGGGTGTTCTAAGATTGGCTTGGGCTCCTGGAAGACTCCGGCTTGCCCGTTTCTCTTCAAGTGGCTGAGGGTTTGCGTGCGAACGAGGGAACGTCAGACTCGGGTGCACAGAAATGAATTCCCCTGTGTGCTCTGGAGCATCCTGGGCGTGAGTGTACTGGGGGGAGGCCTGTGGTAGCAGGGGAGCTTCCCCTGCAGATCAGGGAAGAATGCCGGATTTTCCAGAATCTGGAAGTGTCCAATTTTAATGAGCTGTTCATCTGGGCACATTTTCGCAGTCACGTATCTGTCATGAAACTGTGTGACAGCTCTGACATGAGCTCGCTCTGCTTACAGGGGAGAGAAAACCCTTCTGTCCTTGGCCTCTGTCCCCCTGCCTGCTGGACACCTCCTTCTTTGCAAATGTCACCTGGAGCCTGGAGGATCTTCCCTCGCCCCCATCCACCTCCTGTTCCCTTTGTCAGTGATACTTTTAAATGCTGGCAACTCATTCTTGGTACAGTGGCTTTTAAACCCTGTGAAAACACAAATCAGGCCACTTTTCTTTCAAGCAGACCAAGCACTGAAATTGGTTTCAGAATTATTTCATCAGGAAAAATTGAGGGGAAATTGAGGGCTTCATTCAAAAGAAAGCCTGATTTCTCCCCAGTGCCTGCTTTATTACTTCTGAGACCCAGAAAATGGGAGAACCCTTCAAACTTTGTTTTTAAAAAATGCCTCCCCTTTTCACTTTGGGTCACTTATGAGCCAAATCTCATCTTTGATCTGACATTGGTAGACAGATGGATCTAGACAAGTGCGATGCATTTGTGGGAATCCTTGTGGCTAAATGTTCGAGTCTCATTCCCATAGTGTGTTGCCTTTCATCCAAATTAACTGGAAACAGCTGTCATAAGTCAGCTGAGTTAAAAGGTAAACACTAAGGTGGAGAAAGGAAGCAACCACAAACCCCTTGTAAAAATAGCCCTGATCAGTGTCCAGTGTGGTGGCTCATACTATGAGGGAGATGGAGGTAGGAGGATCAGGGTCCAAGGACTGCTCCAGGCAAAAATATGAGACCTTACCCAAAAAATAACTAAAGCAAAAATGGGTGGAGACATGGCTCGAGTGATAACAGTGCCTGCCTAATGAGCACAAGGCCCTGAGTTCAAACCTCAGTACCCCCCCAACACACACACAAAGACAGCACTGAGCCGGTCTGCCTGGGCTTCTTGAGATGTATAGCAGGGATCCTGAGCTGCTTTTCACCATCTTAAAATGCCAATACTTCATATATTGAACCAGGTGGACAAAAATGTCCCAAATATGAACACAGGGCCCATGAGTGGATGGGAAAGGGTCATAAGCTGTGGACTTCTGGCCAGCAAAGAGGTCAGGACTGGGAGGGCCCCCAGGCTCCCAGTCCCTACTGTATCCTGCTGTGTGTTTTGGCAAGTCATTTCCTCTCCTAAGGGTCTGTCCCCCAGTCCACAGCCATGGAGGCGTGGCCTCCATGATGGTCTCCAAGGGTGTGAGTCATGGGAACAACCAACGACCTTTCTCTCCTGGAGTCAGACTCTCAGAGTCACTCCTGTCCTCCCTAGAGGAGGCCTCGTGCACTCAGGCCACTCAGAAGAAAACCACAGAATGGCTTGGAGCTGTCAGATGGAACAGGCTGTGTGCTGAAACATGGTGGCCTTGGCCCTGAGGACAGCCAGCCACACATGCATCTGTGTGAGCAGGTGCTCATTCTAATACCTTTTATCGGTAGTAAGCTTGGACAAATAACTTAAGTATCCAATGGAGGCATGCAAATAGGTTTCTACATGCATTTGTTAAGGGTAAACTGAATGTATTTAAAGCTCCATTTATGTGCTTTTATGGAACAGGTAGTTTAATAAAATTCCTCTTTATGGGAGTTGTGTTTTAACTCAGCTTTCTTCTCCTATGGATGCGTCCTCCTGATCCTGCCAGGAGGGCATTTAATTTTCTGCCCAGAGAGAAGGCTGAGATGTGGCAATCTGTTCCTACAAAGGCTGAGAGCCAAAAAAGTTTGTTGGCCATGTGTCTTCTTGGTGTAACTGGGGGCTCAGGGACAGGATTTCTATCAGACCAGTAGGGATGCAGCCCCACGTCTGACCCACAGACCAGCAATGGAACACTCAGTGCCTCCTATGGGCTTTTCTTGTTTCTTGTTGGGCCAGGCTTTGTGTGATTTCCGTGAGGCCAGCAAGTCTGGATTTGCCCTCTTCTGTCCGATTGTGATTTGGCTGAGGACATTCATTGGGAAATCACAGCTCACCTCTGGCTGGCTCAGGAATGAGCAGAGAGGGAGGAGGGAGGTGTTGCTTCATTTCAAACGCAGCTCGGTGCAGATTTGGAAAGAGAGATGTGCGTAGGCTTTATATCCCTCCAGTGTGAGTTCTAGCTGCTCTGTCTAAAAACAGGTTAGAGGAATGTCGCTGGCTCAGCTACCAGCAGAGGAGAAAGCAGGTGATGTTCTGTTGTGAGTTGCCTTGTGACCCCTAGACATTTAAACCCCTGGTTTTGCCTGGATTCTAAGCACTTTGAGACACCAGACTCCTCCCAGTACCTTAGCCCTGCCATGCCCAGGGCTATTGACCTAACCCTCCTTCCCCCACCAGAGTTCATTGTTTTCCCAGAGGATCTCAAGTAATTGTCATTTTACACTTGGATTTGCTTTTGCAAGGAAACTGAGTTCCAATTCTCCTCCCAAAGACTGGATTGAGGGGGCCATCGTGCCTTAATATGCCTAGGTCTTCATTATACTTTTGCTTCATGCTCCAGCCCTGCCAACAAACAGATTGTCCCCAAACACTTTTAAATACCAAATATATAAACCAAATTTGGATAAGGGACATTGCATCTGGTCACTCAATAAGTGCTTCTTAAAATTACTTAGATTATTTGGGGCTGGTGGAGTGACTCAAGTGGTAGAGCACCTGCCTTGCAAGCATGAGGCCCTGAGTTCAAACCCCAGTACTGCTAAAACAATAACAACAAAAAAATCTGCGATTATAAGCACAGAGTGTCAGCAAAGTCACCAACTCAGCATCCATGGGGCAAAAATAAGAATACACAACTCAGACAGATCTGTGGCAAGGCTGAATCATAACCCAAAGCCATCTCTCTGCCTGGAGCGTCTCCATCTGTAAACATCTTCCTGTTAAAATGTGCTGTGTGCCTCACTGGGTCACCTAAGTGAAGACAAGAGTTACTTCTTACAGCTGAAGAAAGTGTCTCTTCTGTCTGCAATAGGGCTGTTGGCTGTTGGCTTCCAGTTGCTAGGTAGGACAATTGGACCCTACTGCAGAAGGGGTCATGGACCAGGGCAGCATTCATAGCATCATGTTGGAGCACTTGCCCGGGGCCTCCAGGAGCCTGACACCCCCGCCCATCTTCCTGTGGAGTGGAGACTCCTGAACCTTGTAGTGAGGATGCCTGCACTGATGGAGTAATGTTGGGTGCTAGGAATAGACCTGGGTTTTGTCCCCTGGCCTACTTGGGATCATCCAAAGGCTGAATCACCCACAGTGTCATCGAAAGCAGACGATGTTCCCCACATTTGTTTAGATTTGAGGAGTTAAGGATGCACTTTCCTTCAGCAATGTGCCATGCCTTAGCTACCTAGCTTCCCAGGACAGCCCACTGTGAATCTATTTAACCCTTACCCCAAATTTACATGCTGGAATCCTAACCCTAAGGTGGGGCTACTAGCAGCTGAGGCCTGTGGGAAGTGGTTGGCTGTGAGGGTAAGGCCCTCCCGAATAGGATTAGTGCACTTACACAAGAGCCTGGAGGAGTTCCTTTGTCCCTTCCACCCTGTGGGCACTCAGTGAAGAAGGCACCAGCTATGAACCAGGAAGCAGGCCTTTATCAAACACTGGATCTCCTGGCACCTTGATCTTGACCTTCCAGCCTTTATAACTGTGAGAAATAAGTTTCTGTTCTTTGTTAGCCACACGATCTATGGTGTTTTGTTATTTCAGCCTGCATGGGCTAAGACACCGTCCATGGGTGGACTCTGACTCTGACATTCCCATACAAGAGAGCCCAGCTTAAAGTAGTGTTTCTGGGAGAAAGCGCTGAGGATGTTGGGAATATTTCTCCCCTATTTCCTGACATCAAGTAGAGCCTCAAGCACTGTGAGTTGAGGGCACAGTAACCAGTGAGCTGAGCTCCCCATTCTAGGTCATTCCCTAAGGCCAAATGTAGAGGCACACATCTCCTAGGCCAGCCCCAGGAGATGGGTCATTTCTTTGTGTGTGGCTTCCTTTGCTCTCTTCTTTGGTCTGTTAAGCACATTTTTTATTTAACTTTATATTTTTTCAGGAAGGAGGCTGAATTTGGCCCTTTGCCTTCTGGACCACCAATGAGAAAGTGACAGGGATTGTGGGGAGACCATCTATATGGTAGTTGGGCAAGTAGGCTGTTCCGGTAATAGTGGGATGTTTGCTGTGGATAGTGAGCTCTGCTGGGCACCTCCAGGTCTGGGAACATCAATGCACCCAAGTGGCACCCACCATGTGGACCACTCCTATGTACAATAGTCACTCACCAGTGCTGACAATTCCTGGTCCACTCCAGACCTACCAAGTCAGAATCTTTCTAATGGACCCCAAATTTGCATTTTAAGCAACTTTCCAGTGGCTCAATTTTCATCCTGCCGTTGAGAA